CCCAAAACACACACCCTCCTTTCACCACACACATTACCTAACACCACTAAACATCACCCAACCCTCTTCATTAAACCTCCCTCTAAACTCTACACCCTCCCTTCAACTCAAACCCTCCCACAAACTAACCCACCTTCTTCAATCTAACCCTCATAACTCTAAACCTCCTCATAAACTAACCTCCTTTCAAATCTAAACCCTACTTCCAACTCTAACACCCTCCTCTCAATCTAACAACCTTCCACTTAAACCTTCCTTTCATCTCAACCCAACCCTTACAAAACACCACAACCACACCATCCATTACCAAACACCACCACATCAATAAACAACCTCACCCCCATAAACATCCCAACCACGATAAACCATACACACCACACACACACAACAACTTTCACACCCAAAACTCTAAACCACCCCTCTCCAACTCTAACCACCTATACAACACAAAACCCTCCTAAACTCAAACATCCTCACCAATTAAACTATTACTCTAAACTCATAACTACAACCACACTACAACATCAACACTTCACAACCACACACCCACCAATAAAAAACCTATACATCACATAAACCATCCCTCAAAAAAACCCAACTTCAAACTCACCAACCTCATATAAATCTAAACTCATTAAAACAAACCCTCACACCCATCACCACCACCAAACACTCTAAACACTACTCAACACTAAACCACACTCAACACAAAACCCTATCACTCACACTACCATACAACATAAACATAAACCTCCCTAACTTAAACCCTCCTCTTAACTCTAACCTCCTCATACAAACTCAAAACCTTCTTCACTACTACACCACCTTCCAACTTAAACTCCCTTACTCTAAACCTCCTTACACCCTAAACCACTCTTAACTTAAACCTCCTTAACTCAAAACTCCACTTAATCTAAACCACCACACACCATCTCACCACACCTCAACAAAACACTTCACTACTAACCCACCTCACAACACACCATAAACTCAAAACCCTCCCTTCCAACTCTAAACCTCTCTTCACAATAAAACACCACTCAACTCAAAACCTTTCTTTCACTCTAACCTCCCTCTCAACTCAAACCTCCTTAACTTAAACCACTCACCCTCTAAACCCTCCTTAACACTAAACCTCCATAACTCTAAACTCTAACAACACTAAACCCCTCACTCAACTCTCAACCACCTAAACTACTACCCCCTCCATAAATTTAACCCTCCCCTTTAACTCTAACCCTCCTCTTCACTCTAAACTCCTCATATAAACTTACATCCTTTCAACTCTAAACCTCTCTTAACTTAAATTTCTTAACTTAAACCTCCTCTCAACTCATACACATCCCCTTTAAACACAACCTCCTCTTATAATCTAAACTCTCTTAATTAACCCTCCTACAATAACACTCCTTCCACTCTACAACATCAACTCAAAACCTCCCTTCAACTCTAACACCCTTAACTTCAAACACCTCTCACACTAAAACCTCCTTCACATCTAAACCTTCCTTTAACTTACACCTCCTCTTACACCAAACACCCTCCCTTTAACTCTAACCCTCCCCTTAACCTCTAAACCCTCCTCTAAACTCTCAACCTCTCTCACCTCTAAACTCCCTAACTCTAAACCTCTCTTAACTCTAAACACTCCTCTAACTTCCCACACTAATCACTAAACCTCTCTCCACTTAAACCCTCCTCTTAAACTCTAACCTCCTCTCCACTCTAAACCTTCCATTCAACTCTAAACCCCCCCCCTTAACTCTAACTCCTTAATTAAACCTCCTCTTAACTCTAAACACCTCTCAACTCTAAACTCCCTTAACTCTAACCTCCTTAAATCTAACCTCCTCTTAACTCTACAACCTTCCTCACAACTCTAACCCTTCCTTAACTTAAACCTCCTCTTACCACTTAAAACTCCCTCTTAACTCTAAAACCTCCCTCTTAACCTAAACCTCCTTCATAACTTAAACCTCCTCTTCAATCTAAACTCCTCTTAAAATCTAAATCCTCTTAACCTAAACCTCCTCTTAACCCTACCTCCCTCTTATAATCTAAACCTACCTCTAACTTAACCTTCCCTTTCTAACTCAAAACCTCCTCTCCATACTCTAAACTTTCAAAAACCTAAACAACAACAAACAACAACACCACACCCATACAACCAATCCCTCACACAAAACAACAACAAACTACTCTACTCTAAAATAACATCATAAATAATACACTAACCAAACCTCATTACCAAAAACATACTCTAATCTAAAAACACCCAAAATATCAACACCAATAACACATACACAACACACAAATATATATATAACAACTCATAAATACAATCCCCATCCACACCCCAATTCTCCCACATACAACAAAAACCCAATTATAAACCCTACCTACCTAAATAACCAACTACCACCCTTATAATACATAAATCCTACCATACATCATAATAAAAAACCCATTCCACTTCCATTCAATATACACCACACCAAAAAAACCCACCCCAATTTCAAATCTACACCAAAAAAAATATCCTAAAACACCTAACACCATATCACAATTCAAAACAATAAAAACCATCCAACCCCCCTACCCACACTAATCCATCCCCATAAAAACCCCCCCCCCACCCCAAACACCCAACCCCCACAATCACTCACCTTTAAAACATTATCCCATAAATAAAAAAACAACCCCCTAAAAACCCAAAAAAATACCCTTCACATACCACTCATTTAATCAATATAATCCCAACATAACACATCCCTTAATTCTTTCTTTTCCCTCATACAACATTATACATATCACCCCACAATATCCACACTAAACTTCCTAAAAATAAATATCACATTACCACATTCAACAAATCCTCCCCCAAAAACCAACCCACAATAATCAAAACTATAAAATATCCAAATATCATATCTATATCACCCTTATATCTCCTATTATCATTTAACCCTCTATATCCCCTATTATCATACCCCTATAATCATACCTATTATCTACCTAAATCATACATATTATCATACCCTTATTATCATATCCCCACAATTATCAACCCATTTTATAAACCCCCCTATTATCATACCAATTAATCATAACCCCCTATTACATACCCAAAAAAACAAACCCATAATCAACCTTTCATTATTCATACTCCAATTATCCTACCCATCTAATCATACACATAACAAACCCCTAAAAACCACCACAAAAAACCTCAAAACCACCCCATAAACCTATCCCATCCCCCAACCAAAAACAAAACACCCCCCACCCCCCCCTCTACCCCCATTCTTCCAAAAACATAATACCCACAAACCATCCCAACACACACAACCATCTCACCACTCTCAACCATTCTTCCATTTCACACCTTTACTCTCAATCTCACCTTTCACACACTTCAACATTTTCCATCTTATTCCCTTACCTTTTCACTATACCACTAACACACACATCCTCATTTAAACTCTAACTCTATATCACCTCACATCTCCCATACAACCAAAACACCCACACACCACACACAAAACATAACCACACACCAACTACCCAACAACAACTCTCATCAATACACACCACTCACGACACACACAAAACACCTCACCTAAACAAACAATCTCTCACACCAATCACACCACACTTCACACACTACACACACAACCCATCTCACAACACATCTACAACCTCTCTCTCTCTTTCCTCTCACACTCATTAAAAACACACACACCACTCAACTAACATACCCTTCTCTTTCCCTCATCACCATTCATTATCTCCTCTCTAACTCTCTCTCTCATCATTCATCCCAAAACACAAAACCAATAAAAAAACAAATCAAACCCTCCATTATAACACTCACCCCTATCTCACTGTTAACATAAATCCTTATACACACTCACCCAATACTAAAAAATCCCTTATAACTCACCATTATAATTCATATATCCTTATACACACTCACATCTCAATTCATATATCCTTATAAACAATCACCATATAATATATATCCATTATAACACATACCCCTATAATTATATTATCCCTTATACACACTCACATATAAAAATCTATCCTTAACCCCACACCCATATAATTCATAATCCCTTATCCCCCAACAAAATAAATCTCTACAACCCCACACAAACACAACACTCTACAATATAAAACTACCCATATATTATAAATCCCTAATAACAGTACAAGTACCATGTGGAGCTAATCTCACTGGTAAAGTACCATGTGGAGCTAATCTCACTGGTAAAGTACCATGTGGCGCAGAACTAAAAAAGGTTAACGACATTAACGACAAAACAAGGAATAAAACCAGGATTTTTATCTTTGTGAAAAAGGTGTTGGTTATAGATTTGTGGTTGACAAAACTCTTGTCTATTCAGCTGTTATGTCCCAGCTGGATTCGTCTGCCTATCTGGCAACTGAGTCAGGGAGAGTGGGAGAGGCTGCAGTACCACTTTGGGCCACATGTTTACAGACGGCTGTTTAACCTGGGTCCTACCGTAGGCCGCCTGCCACCACACCACCAGCCCGGTGAAGCCCTACGAAGATGAAGATCCCTCCCATCACAGTCTTCCACTCGGGACGGAAGGACGCATGCATCTCTGCGTAGGTCTGATGAAGGAGAGGCGGTACACTGGGGGAGAGAGGAGAAGGGGGGAGAGGGGAAGAGGGGAGAGAGGGAGAGAGAGAGGAGAGAGAGAAGGGGGAGAGAGGAGGAGAGGAGAGAGAGAAAAGGAGAAGAGAGGGAGAGGGGGAGAGAGAGAGGAGGAGAGAGAGGGAGGAGAGGGGAGAGAGGGGAGAGGAGAGAGAGAGGAGAGAGAGGGGAGAGAGAGTGAAGAGAGAGGAGAGAGGAGAGAGGGAGAGAGAGGAGAGAGAGGAGGGGGAGAGTGAGAGAGAGAGAGAGAAGAGAGGATAAGGGAGGAGAGGTAGTGTGGGGGTGTGTGTGTGGTGAGTTGGGTGTGGGGTTGTGGATGGGGGTAGTGGTTGGTGGGGTGAGGGATGTGGGTGATTGGGGGTTGGGTTGTGGTGGTGGTGGTGTGGGTGGGGGGTGTGTGGGGTGTGGGTGTGGTGTGTGTGTGGGTTGGGGTTGTGTGTGGGTGTGTGGGTGGATGGTGTGGGGTGGTTGGTGTGTTGGTGGTGTTGTGGGTTGTGGGTTGGGTGGTGGGTGTGTGTGGGTGTGTGGGGGTGTGGTGTGTGGTGTTGTGGTGTTGTTGTTGTTGTGGTGTGTGGTGTGTGTGTGTTGTGTGGTTGTGGGTGTGGGTGTTGTGTTGTGTGTTGTGTTTGTGAGTGTGTGGTGTGAGAGGAGAGAGAGGAGAGAGACGAGAGAGGAGAGAGAGGCGAGAGAAGGGAGAGAGAGGAGAGGACAGTTTAATGATGTGGCACAGACTCATGTAGACTGACCACGGAAACCAGATCCTGCTGAGACCAGGCCAGCGGCTGCATGTAAGAGCACATGAGGCCTTTGAGATACGTGCGAGCTTCTCCTCCTGACTCAGCATGTTAGCTTACGTGCGAGCTTCTCCTCCTGACTCAGCATGTTAGCTTACGTGCTAGCTTCTCCTCCTGACTCAGCATGTTAGCTTACGTGCTAGCTTCTCCTCCTGACTCAGCATGTTAGCTTACGTGCTAGCTTCTCCTCCTGACTCAGCAGTTTCCAGCTGTCCTGCTCCTTCTGCTTCAGGGTCAGGTCGGCAGAGGTCAGTTTGTCTCTGAAGGGACGGTCCGGGAGAGGGACCTCCCTCCTGTCCCAGTACATGGGTCTGGACAGGTCTGCAGCGGAGGACACATCTGAGGAGGAAGAGGAGACACCTGAAGAGGAGGAGGAGGAAACATCCGAGGAGGAGAGAAGGCACATGAGAAGAGAGAGAAACATGAGAGAGAGAGGGACACATGAGGAGGAGAGAGGACACATGAGGAGGAGGAGGAGACACATAGAGAGAGAGAGGAGGACACATGAGAGAGAGGAGGACCAATGAGAGGAGGAGGAGGACTCATAGGAGAGAGAGGAGGACAAATGAGGAGAGGAGACATAGGAGGAAGACACACTGAGGAAGAGAGAGAGGACACATGAGGAGGAGGAGGACACATCTGGAGGAGAGAGAGAGGAACCATAAAGAGGAAGAGGAGGAAACCATGAGGAGGAGAGAGAGGAGGACACATGAGGAGGAGAGAGGAGGACACAGAGGAGAGGAAAATAGGAGGAGGAAACATCAGAGGAGGGACAACAGAGAGAGAGGCACATGAGAGAGGAGGAGGAACATCAGTTGAGGAGGAGACCGAGGAGGAGGATGACGGCATTAAGTAGAGAGAGAGGAGGAGAGCATGAGGAGGAGAGAGAGAGGTGACTCATCTGAGAGGAGAGAGGTGGACACATGTAGAGGAGGAGACCATATGAGGAGGACACATCTGGGGAAGCGAGAATGAGGAGACATGAGGAGAGAGGCTCCCTAATCTGAGGAGGAGAGAGGAGGAGAGACGGACACATGAGGAGAGAGAGGAGGAAAAAAAAAAGCGACATGCGGATGAAGAGGAGGACTCATGAGGCGGAGAGAGGAGACGCATCTGAGGAGGAGAGAGGAGACACCGGAGAGTGAGGAGACCGATGAGAGGACACATCATGAGGAAGAGAGAGGAGGTACAGATTGAGGAAGAGAGGAGGACAAGACACATCTGAGGAGGAGAGAGGAGGAGAGACTGCAATAAAGAGGAGAGAGGGGAGACTGAGGAGAGAGAGGAGGACACATGAGGAAGGAGAGAGGAGGACACATGAAGGAGGAGAGAGGAGGACAACATGTGAGGAGGAGAGAGGAGGACAGGAGGATAAAGAGGGATAGGAGGAGGACAGGAGGAGGAGGAGTCAGGAGGAAGACATGGGAGAGAGAGGAGGACATCAGGAGGAGAGAGAGGAGGAGACATGAGGAGAGAGAGGAGGATTCAGGAGGAGGAGAGGAGGAGTCAGGAGGAGGAGAGAGGAGGACACATGAGGAGTCACGAGCATAAAGAGGAGGAGAGGATCAAGAGGAGGAGAACTGTCAGGGAGGAAGTAGAGGAGGTGTCAGGAGGAGGAGGTGTCAGGAGGAGGAGGTGTCAGGAGGAGGTGTCAGGAGGAGTCAGGAGGAGGAGGTGTCAGGAGGAGGTGTCAGGAGGAGGAGGTGTCAGGAGGAGGTGTCAGGAGGAGGAGTCAGGAGGAGGAGGTGTCAGGAGGAGGTGTCAGGAGGAGGAGGTGTCAGGAGGAGGTGTCAGGAGGAGGTGTCAGGAGGAGGTGTCAGGAGGAGGAGGTGTCAGGAGGAGGAGGTGTCAGGAGGAGGAGGAGTCAGGAGGAGGAGGAGTCAGGAGGAGGTGTCAGGAGGAGGAGGTGTCAGGAGGAAGAGTCAGGAGGAGGTGTCAGGAGGAGAGAGGTGTCAGGAGGAGGAGGAGTCAGGAGGAGGAGGTGTCAGGAGGAGGAGGAGTCAGGAGGAGGAGGAGTCAGGAGGAGGAGGTGTCAGGAGTCAGGAGGAGGAGGTGTCAGGAGTCAGGAGGTGTCAGGAGGAGGAGGAGTCAGGAGGAGGAGGAGGAGGTGTCAGGAGGAGGAGGTGCTCACCGTGGCTCTCTGACCTCACCGTTGCTGCTGCAGATCTGGGTTTGGTCAAAAAACCACAAACACGACTCAAGGTCACACGGAACATCTGCAGAGGTCAGAGGTCACTGTGTTAGAGGGACACACACACACACACACACAATGCTACACACACACACACACACACAATTCTACACACACACACACACACAATGCTACACACACACACACACACACACAATTCTACACACACACACACACAGAAGCACACACAATGTTGCAAACACACTATGCTACAAACACATTCAATGTCACACACACTCAATTTTACACACACACACAATGCTACACACACACACAGAAACACACCGAAGCACACACAAACACAGACACACAATGTTGCAAACACACTATGCTACACACACATACAATGTCACACACACACACAGACAAACAATGCTACACAAACACTATGCTACACACACATACAATGTCACACACACACACAGACAAACAATGCTACACAAACACTATGCTACACACAATAATAACAGACATTCATATTAATAATAAAATAACAGTGAAAAGAAACTTATCGTCGTCAAAACTTTTAATAAAACTGAATTTTGACCCTTAACCTCTGACCTCTGACCCTCAGGGCTGAGCTGAGGATGGAGCACCATGGGCCTCTTGTCTGCATCACTTCAATCAATCAACTATTAGGTATATGGCACAGTTCATACAGACAAAAGACCATTTAAAAAGAATAAATATAATGTATCAAGAATAAACTGATGGTCCGTTGTTGGCTGAAGAGAGCCGCTTTCAGCCCGTCTCACACCTTCGGGAAGACTGTTCCAGAACAGTCTGGACCGCTGCCTCCCCAGGTCCAGGTCCAGACTCTGGGCCCAACAGGAGGCTCCAGTTACTTTGATCTCTTTGAAGAAAATCTGTTTGTCACAAGTGAGAGTTTGTGTGCTTGAACTAATCTGATTCATCAACGTCTCCTCTCTCTCCCTCTCTCTCCCCCTCTCTCACCCTCCTTCTCTCCCCCCTCTCTCACCCCCTCTCCCTCTCCTTCTCTCTCCCCCTCTCTCACCCCCTCTCCCTCTCCCTCTCTCTCACCCTCTCTGCAGGCCTCATGTACCAAGCACTAATCCACTTTTGTCACATCTGAACTTGTGTTGCTGTCAAACTGATTTTAATTTGATCGTGTTTCATCTGCAGCTTTAACACACACACACACACACACACTCACGTACGTACACACACACACACACACATACAAGTACACACAGACAGATACACACACACACATGCACACAAGCACGTACACAGGAGCTGAAGAACATGGAGGAAAGTAGTACCGCACATACTCCCCGACCTTCCCTGACCTACCACCACACACACACACACACAGACACACACAGACACACACAGACACACAACACAACTACCACACAACAGTCATTTCACGCACACCTCCTGGTTTCATGTTTAACACGTGTGTCTGCTCTGCATAAATGCGCAAAACTGAGATTCTGTTTCTTGGGTCTGGGTCCTGGTCTGGGTCCTGGTCTGGGTCCTGGTCTGGGTCCTGGTCTGGGTCCTGGTCTGAGTGCTGATCTGAGTCCTGGTCTGAGTGCTGATCTGAGTCCTGGTCTGAGTGCTGATCTGAGTCCTGGTCTGAGTGCTGATCTGAGTCCTGGTCTGAGTGCTGATCTGAGTCCTGGTCTGAGTGCTGATGTGAGTCCTGGTCTGAGTGCTGATCTGAGTCCTGGTCCTGGTCTGGGTCCTGGTCTGGGTCCTGTTGATTCTACCACATGTTGAATCCAAAAGTGTAAATACTTCACTTACTGTTGTTTGTGGCTGGAGTTTAGGCTGAAGCAGACGCTCTGACGCAGCTGTGAAACTGGACTTATCAGTCTGTGTGTGTGTGTGTGTGTGTGTTTGTGTGTGCGTGTGTGTTTGTGTGTGTGTGTGTCCATGTATGCGTGTGGGAAGGAGGAAGAAGGAAGGCTAAATCTAATTTCCCCATCTCACCTCCTCCTCTCTCCCTTCACAATCTCCTTCCTCAAGACCTGTGTGGAGACCAGAGTAGAGACCCGTGTGGAGACCCGTGTGGAGACCCGTGTGGAGACCAGAGTAGAGACCCGTGTGGAGACCCGTGTGGAGACCCGTGTGGAGACCAGAGTGTAGGAAGCAGGAAGCAAAGGAAAGGACCAAGTATGGTGAAACTGGAAGCAGCCATAAAGCTAGAGCTGAGAAAACTGTTGGAATGAATTGAAAGCAGGGGGGGAGTCAGGTCTGTGCAGGGGGGAGTCAGGTCTGTGCAGGGGGGAGTCAGGGCAGTGCAGGGGGGAGTCAGAGCCGTGCAGGGGGGAGTCAGGGCAGTGCAGGGGGGAGTCAGAGCCGTGCAGGGGGGAGTCAAGGCAGTGCAGGGGGGAGTCAGGGCAGTGCAGGGGGGAGTCAAGGCAGTGCAGGGGGGAGTCAAGGCAGTGCAGGGGGGAGTCAGGGCAGTGCAGGGGGGAGTCAGGGCAGTGCAGGGGGGAGTCAGGGCAGTGCAGGGGGGAGTCAGAGCCGTGCAGGGGGGAGTCAGGGCAGTGCAGGGGGGAGTCAGGTCTGTGCAGGGGGAAGTCAGGGCCGTGCAGGGGGGAGTCGGGGCCGTGCAGGGGGGAGTCAAGTCTGTGCAGGGGGGAGTCAGAGCCGTGCAGGGGGGAGTCGGGGCCGTGCAGGGGGGAGTCAGGGCAGTGCAGGGGGGAGTCAGGGCAGTGCAGGGGGAGTCAGGGCCGTGCAGGGGGGAGTCAGGGCAGTGCAGGGGGGAGTCAGGGCAGTGCAGGGGGGAGTCAGGGCAGTGCAGGGGGGAGTCAGGGCAGTCCAGGGGGGAGTCAGGGCAGTGCAGGGGGGAGTCAGGGCAGTGCAGGGGGGAGTCAGAGCCGTGCAGGGGGGAGTCAGGGCAGTGCAGGGGGGAGTCAGGTCTGTGCAGGGGGGAGTCAGGGCCGTGCAGGGGGGAGTCGGGGCCGTGCAGGGGGGAGTCAGGGCAGTGCAGGGGGGAGTCAGGGCAGTGCAGGGGGGAGTCAGAGCCGTGCAGGGGGGAGTCAGGGCAGTGCAGGGGGGAGTCAGGTCTGTGCAGGGGGGAGTCAGGGCAGTGCAGGGGGGAGTCAGAGCCGTGCAGGGGGGAGTCAGGGCAGTGCAGGGGGGAGTCAGAGCCGTGCAGGGGGGAGTCAGGGCAGTGCAGGGGGGAGTCAGGTCTGTGCAGGGGGGAGTCAGGGCCGTGCAGGGGGGAGTCAGGGCAGTGCAGGGGGGAGTCAGGTCTGTGCAGGGGGGAGTCAGGTCTGTGCAGGGGGGAGTCAGGTCTGTGCAGGGGGGAGTCAGGGCAGTGCAGGGGGGAGTCAGGTCTGTGCAGGGGGGAGTCAGGGGCAGTGCAGGGGGGAGTCAGGTCTGTGCAGGGGGGAGTCAGGGCAGTGCAGGGGGGAGTCAGGTCTGTGCAGGGGGGAGTCAGGGCAGTGCAGGGGGGAGTCAGGGCCGTGCAGGGGGGAGTCAGAGCCGTGCAGGGGGGAGTCAGGGCAGTGCAGGGGGGAGTCAGGTCTGTGCAGGGGGGGAGTCAGGGCAGTGCAGGGGGGAGTCAGAGCCGTGCAGGGGGGAGTCAGGGCAGTGCAGGGGGGAGTCAGAGCCGTGCAGGGGGGAGTCAGGGCAGTGCAGGGGGAGTCAGGTCTGTGCAGGGGGGAGTCAGGGCCGTGCAGGGGGGAGTCAGGGCAGTGCAGGGGGGAGTCAGGTCTGTGCAGGGGGGAGTCAGGTCTGTGCAGGGGGGAGTCAGGTCTGTGCAGGGGGGAGTCAGGGCAGTGCAGGGGGGAGTCAGGTCTGTGCAGGGGGGAGTCAGGGGCAGTGCAGGGGGGAGTCAGGTCTGTGCAGGGGGGAGTCAGGGCAGTGCAGGGGGGAGTCAGGTCTGTGCAGGGGGGAGTCAGGGCAGTGCAGGGGGGAGTCAGGGCCGTGCAGGGGGGAGTCAGGGCCGTGCAGGGGGGAGTCAGGGCAGTGCAGGGGGGAGTCAGGGCCGTGCAGGGGGGAGTCAGGGCAGTGCAGGGGGGAGTCAGGGCAGTGCAGGGGGAGTCAGAGCCGTGCAGGGGGAGTCAGGGCAGTGCAGGGGGGAGTCAGGGCCGTGCAGGGGGGAGTCAGGGCAGTGCAGGGGGGAGTCGGGGCAGCGTGGAGCAGAGTGTGGTTGTTTTGGTCAGAGGTGACGTGAGGACAGGGCGCAGGGCACATGTCAGCCTGCGGGGGGCGCTGTTCTGCAGGAAACACACATTAACACTAACCTCTGTGAAATCTAGGACACGCGCCACAGTGGGCACTTTTCCAACTTCAAACACATTATTTTTATTATTTTAAAATGCGTGACAACATTACAAGATGCCATTTGAAGAGTTTAAATGAAAAACAGATAAGTGCCAATAAGAATAGATTTGAGAGGCTTTCATTTTGCCGTTATTGTAAAGTCAAATCTATTCTAGAGTCATGCAGTTACAGATGACCCCTTCTTGAGCAAATACGTTCCCATTTATTGGCAAGAACAAAACATGTTTAAAGTAGAAATATGTACGATTTTCATGTCAAGTCATCATTAAATGGCCCTAATATGTCAAAAGTCATTAATAAAACATGTTCTTTTCATTCACTAGCAATAACATTACTTGACAACAGAATAATACAATCAATATACAAGCTTGAATACTTCTTTAACTGATAACTGCAGTTCAGAGATATTTGGAATTCAAAATTACTTTCACAGCCCCTAAATCTTGTTACTGTTTTCATTTCGATGTCCCGCCCTCCACAGTTTCACCAATCAGAAAGTCTGTGATCCGGGCGCCAGAACTCACCGCGTGGAGCTAATCTCACTGGTAAAGTACCATGTGGCGCAGAACTAAAAACGGTCTCGTTATGATTCTCAAATCATTAACAACAAAACAAGGAATAAAACGAGGGTTTCTATCTTTGTGAAAAAGGTGTTGGTTATAGATTTGTTGTTGACAAAACTCTTGTCTATTCAGCTGTTATGGTCCCAGCTGGATTCGTCTGCATATCTGGCAACCTGAGTCAGGGAGAGTGGGAGAGGCTGCAGTACCACTTTTGGCCACATTTTTACATATTGCCTACTGATCGTAGCAGGAGGAATACAACTTTTTGAGACATTATTCAAAATGGAGATATCTAGTTTTGCAACAGACTCGTTCATTTTTTCCTTCATAATGTAAATAATATAAAGACAAAAAGTGATAATAAAACAAACAAAAGGGAACAGCACAAAACAAAGGGGGCTTACGGTGTCAATTTCTCCATTGTTAATCCAAACAAAAAAGTAGAAAATGTGTTTTTATTATGAATCCATTCATCAATCCATTTTCTTCCCCTTAATCCATTTCTGGGTCAGGGGGGTGGCCAGAGCTGCACCCAGTCCACAGAGCACCAGCCCCTCTCTGGTCCTCCTGCAGGTGCTGAGTCCACAGAGCACCAGCCCCTCTCTGGTCCTCCTGCAGGTGCTGAGTCCACAGAGCACCAGCCCCTCTCTGGTCCTCCTGCAGGTGCTGAGTCCACAGAGCACCAGCCCCTCTCTGGTCCTCCTGCAGGTGCTGAGTCCACAGAGCACCAGCCCCTCTCTGGTCCTCCTGCAGGTGCTGAGTCCACAGGAGGACACAGCTTACATTATGCTTCATAAAACATAAGTACGTTTTTCCATTTTGAATATTTCTAGAGCTGTTCCAGACCCGTCCTCTGCCGATGCTTGGGTTGACTTCAGACATTTTCTAGTGATGGATTTTTAACCGCAGCCAAAAGAGCTTTGTATCTGACAGACAAAACACACAATAAACAAAAACAAGAATAAATGTATGGTATAAACATGGCCGTATAATTATCCTCCGAGCCGAGGCAGGACCAAAACCCAAATAAAAACATGTCAAATCAGTAGTGATTGAGTCCTCGAAGTGTCAGTGTGGATTTTGTGTCATTTTGTATTTTAGTTTTAGTTTGATATCAGTTCGTTCGGTTTTAGTTTGACTTCCTGCACCTGTGTCTGTGTCATGCTGTTTTCTGTTTTCGCCACTGGATGGTGCTGTAACATTGGTCAGGCTCATCATTGCACCTGTTTTTATTTTGTGACAGTTTAGCGGAGGAGCCTTTACTATTTTACACAACGTTTTATTGTTTTTTCTTTAAAATAAATAACAAAAGACTTTAATGTTCTCAGTTTCTTGAGTTACTTTTCTGTTACTTAAACGCGTGGGTCAATATCCACCACATTGGGCTGTCACATGTTTCGCACCACACATTAGTAGAAATAACCTTGTTGACTACATTCTGTTGACTACATGTGGACTTCTTTCTCTGGACAATGGATGAAAATACCACCAAAGCCCAGTCTTCGGGCCATGTAGGACTCACTTCAGAGGAAAATCACTGACAGAATAACAAAGCTCAGTCGGCTTACAATGAAGTTGAATGAGTTGCTGCGTTTGATGGACAGTGACAGTAAAACTGATGTGGTGCAGAAGAAGTTAGTAATGTTTATTTATATACCGCCTTTCACAGACCAGAGTCACAAAGCAGTTTACAATTGTTATTTTTGGGCACTCCACACAGAGATGGGAGCAGGGCCAGTACAGGAGGCACATGCCAGACCTATTGTACATATTTTTAGTGGTAGGGGAAACCAGAGTACCCGGAGGAAACCTACGCAGACACAGGGAGAACATGCAAACTCCACTCAGAAAGGCCCTGGTCCGACCGGGATTCGAACCCAGGACCGTCTTGCTGAGAGGCGAGAGTGCTATCCACTCAGCCACCGTGCCGCCCAGGTTCACTAAAGAAGATGCAGATCTGGATGAGAACCAGAAGTATGACCAAGAGAACTGGTACATGCCCAAAGAAGCTGCGTTTTGTGACTTTATTGAAGAAGTGGACTTTTGGATAAAAGAGGCGAGTAAATGAATGGAAGATTCTTCAAAGATGGATGAAATGGTGCGGCCTAAAGACAGCGTATCTGAATCTGGTTCCCGAAGGTCTAAATATTCCAAATGCAGCTCTGCACATTCCCGAGCTTCCATGGAACGCTAAAAGGCTGAATTGGAAGAGGCTGCGCTCTCGGCACAGGCAGATTTGTTAAAGGAGTGACGTATGATTGAGTTTCAGGAGCTGCGTATTCGGGCTAACAAACAGGACTTGGAGTTTATTTTTTAAATTTCTTTCTTTCTTGTCCACAAAACAAAAGTAAACAGGTAACACACCAAAATGAGATGTGTTTTTTTTTTACACTCCCAACCAACCCAAACAAACTCATACATTCACACCAGCATTCTCACAACTAATCTGTAACTTATTCAAACGAACTGTTCTTAGTATAGTTCTCATTATCATCATCAACATTATATTCCAGGAAGTACATTCTCTGCTGGGCCTTCTTGATGAGGGAGCTGATGGTCGGCTCCCACTTGAGGTCATGGGTGATGGTGCCCAGGAAACAGAAGGACTCCACAGAGGTGATGGGGGAGTCCATCACGGAAGGTGGGGGCGGGGGGCCAGTGCTCTTCCTGAAGTCCACAATTATCTCCACTGGTCCACCACCTCCCTCCTGTAGGCTGACTCATCGTTGTTGGAGATGAGTCCAATAAGGGTGGTGTCGTCCGCGAACTTGCCACATTTTGAGTAGACCAGTGTGATACTCCAATCCCTGCGGCCTGAAGTCCCCGCAGCCTGTAGTTGCCGAACGCCACTCCCTAGTTCCGGCCTTCCAACGCCACTCCCCAGTTCCGGCCTTCCAACGCCGCTCCCCAGTTCCGGCCTTCCAACGCCGCTCCCCAGTTCCGGCCTTCCAACGCCGCTCCCCAGTTCCGGCCTTCCAACGCCGCTCCCCAGTTCCGGCCTTCCAACGCCGCTCCCCAGCCTCCCATCGTCCCAATTACATGTCAGCTTTCTGGACAGCTACAATGCTACAGTGACTTCATAAGCGAACTGTCCAATTCTCCAACCGGCCAAACAGAGAATAATCCAGAGGCTCTGCTCACTGTCCTTCACTGCCAAAATGACATCACAGAATATTTGGTGAGGCAACAGAGACTAATAACACTGCCCCCCAGACAATACCCATATTCAAAGGGGACCCACTGGACTTCAGACTGTTTGAGAGAGCCTTCGAACACAGAGCATAAAACTGATGGCTACGAGGACAGACTGTATCTGCTGGACCAATACACCAGTGGACAGCCCAAGAACTTCATTCATAGCTGTCTGCATATAGAACCAGAGCTGGGGTATTGAACCAGGTAGTTGCTCAAACAAAATTTTGTTTCGTGGTGTTCTCCTGTGGTTCTCCTGTGGTGTCAGTTGGATTATTAAATGTCAATGGTATACAATCATTAGCAGAAAGATCAAGACCAGGAAGGCGGCGGGACCGGACCATGTGAGCGCCAGGCTCCTCAGCTCCTGTGCAGACGAACTGTGCGGAGTTATGGGGCACGTCTTCAACATGAGCCTCCGCCTGAGGTCGGTACCACAGATCTGGAAGACCTCCTGTGTGGTACCAGTACCCAAGAAACCATGGGCCAAAGACCTCAGCGATTTCAGGCCAGTGGCTCTAACATCCCACTGCATGAAGACACTGGAGAGACTGGTCCTGGCACATCTCCGCTCCACTCTGAGCCCAGCGATGGACCCGCTGCAGTTCGCGTACCGGCCGGGCATCGGAGTCGAGGACGCCATCATCTCCCTCCTCCATCGCTCGCTGTCCCACCTGGAGAAACCCGGCACCGCTGTGAGAATTATGTTCTTCGACTTCTCCAGCGCCTTCAACACCATCCAGCCGAGGCTTCTCAGGGACAAGCTGGAGACAGTTGGAGTGGACTACGACCTGTCCCAGTGGATCCTGGACTACCTCACAGACAGACCCCAGTTTGTGAGAACCAGGGACTACGTGTCTGAGGTCCTGACCTGCAGTGTGGGGGCCCCCCAGGGGACAGTCCTTGCACCGTTCCTCTTCACCCTTTACACTGCGGACTTCAGACACAACACGGACGGTTGTGTCCTCCAGAAGTTCTCTGACGACTCTGCCATCATCGGACTCAGCTCCGAGGACGATGACACAGAGTACAGAGGAGTTATACAGGACTTTGTGGACTGGTGTCAGCGGAACCACCTCCTCATCAACGCGGGGAAGACTAAGGAGATGGTGGTGGATTTCCGTAGACGCCACTCTGCCACTCCAGCTCCAGTGAACATCCAGGGAAAGGACATCGAGAGAGTGGACTCTTACAAGTACCTGGGTGTTCATCTGAACCACAAACTGGACTGGACTCATAACACAGACGCCCTCTTCAAGAAGGGCCAGAGTCGCCTCTACCTACTGAGGAGGCTTAGGTCTTTTGGAGTGCAGGGGCCACTCCTGAAGACCTTCTATGACTCTGTGGTGGCATCAGCCATCTTGTACGGTGTGGTCTGCTGGAACAGCAGCATCACAGAGAGGGACAGGAAGAAGCTGGACACGGTCATCAGGAAGTCCAGCTCAGTCCTGGGCTGTTCCCTGGACACAGTGCAGCAGGTGGGGGACAGGAGGGTCCTGAGCAAACTAACATCTATGCTGGACCATGACTGTCACCCCCTGCAGGACACTCTCTCTGCTCTGGAGAGCAGCTTCAGTGACAGACTAATTCACCCTCGCTGTGTGAAGGGGAGGTTTCGTAGGTCTTTCCTTCCTGCTGCTGTCAGACTGTACAACGAGAATGTGTAACAGGAACTGCTGAGTCTGCACAAGTGTCACTGATAATTCACTAGTAACTTTGTCACAAGTCACTTTACCTGTTGATATTATTTCTGATGTTTATTCTGCTCATATTCTCATATTCTCCGCGGCTAATGTATAATATAGACATCTGTAAATACTCCGAACCAGTGCAATTATAGCCCAGAGTTTATCTTATTTTATTTTATTTTATTTTATCTTAAATTATTGTCTATTATCTTAAATAATAGACTTTAATGTGTGCAATCTGAGTGCTCTTATTTCCTTTCTCTGCTGTAATGTGCAACGATGACACTGAAATTTCTCCACTGTGAGACTAATAAAGGTTTATCTTATCTTATCTTATCTTTATTTGCAGGAACATAAATTAAAAAAACAAATATTTTAAGAGAAGAGGGGGACCCAGACATGCCAGCGTACACTCTACTGGAAGTCTTACCGATGTTGTTTCATGCTTACACTAAAGATCTGTAAACACTAAATAACAGTAAAAACTAAAGAACAGCAGAAACAAGAGATCAGTAAAAACCACAGTCAATAAAAAAACGTATAAATCAATCAATCAATCACATTTTATTTATAAAGCGCTTTTCATACAAAAAAATGCTACACAAAGTGCTTTACAGTTTAGTAACATGCCCAGCCCTAAGCCCCACCTCCCCACACACCCCCCCAAAACCACATTTATTATTGTATATACACCCACATGCATGAATACACACACACACACACACACACACACACACACATAAAGTCACATCAGGTAAAATAGGTAAAACATAAAAAAAGATATAGGGCTGGGTGTTTCAGCAGCGGTTCTGTGTTGCACATTCTGACATTAGTTAAGATTATTGCACAGATATATATATAGTGAAATTCTTTTTAACACAGAGGAACACACACACACAGCACACTCCCCCTCTCCCTCTGACCCTAAACCCCAGCCCCCCTTTCCCCTCCTTTCTCTTGTTTTTTGAATGAAAACTCTCTCTCACCCCTGTGGGGGAGGGGCTCTCATTGGCCAGCGGCTGTTTGGATCTGAACCAATGACAGCGCGTGTCTCCTGCCCCCCTGCCCACCCTGTGCTCCGATTGGCCGCTCACCAGCTCCATAAGCCTTTGCTACTCTGAGGACTTCATCAGATGTGGAGCAGAGACGAGGGTTTTTCTTCCCTGTGAAACCACAAAACCAGACCAGAAAAGTCCCTAACCAGACCCAAACCCAGACCAGACCCAGGCCACAGCAGGGCAGGGGACCAGGAGCAGGTCTGGACCAGGACAGGCCTCTGGGATCACTTGTGAAAGTGCAGCTGCCCGTCCTCAGACCTTGGATTCTGGAGGATTACTCATTCATATGTTGTTTTTGGACTCGGACACAAAACCCACATGTCTGAGCTTTACCCTGAAATGCTTCTGTGTGGATTCAAACAGAGTCACGTGTGGAGTTAACCTGACGCGTTACAGAGAGGAGACACAAGACGGTAAGACCCTAACGCTGACCCTGTCCCTCACCCTGTCCTTCACCCTGACCCTGTCCTTCACCCTGACCCTCACCTTGACCCTCACCCTGACCCTCACCCTGACCCTCACCCTGTCCCTGTTCTTGTGTTTGCATTCATATAGTAATGACACAGGGCCGAGGTCAGAACCTTGGGGTCTCCCTGACTGCTGAGACATAAGTTCCTGTTTGATAAAAGCGAAAAGTGAAAGAAATCCCCCGACTGACAACTTTGTGGAACAGTTACCTGTTTTCCCTGTCCACAGTAGGACGCTGCCCCCCCCTCACTCTGATGACAGTGTAATAGGGTACGCAGCTTCCACGCGCAATAGACGCACATTCTCTAAATTTCAGATGCAAGGGGCATTCAGACCAGAAGTCCTGGCCTGCGGTCGGCCGGGCTTTGATGCTAAGCGGCCTTTTGTGTAAAGTTCTGCAGCGTCTCTGTGTCTGAGACCTTCAGAGATTTTATATAACAGCAGTATGTGTTCACGGAGGTGACTTTATATAACAGCAGTATGCGTTATATAAAGTTTTATATATATATATGCGTTCCGAGGTAAAACATCACCAATGTTTATCTCCTGTGTACGTCAATTTTCCGCTCCTGCGCCTCTGCGGCGTTTCTACTGCGCGGTCCATGCGTGCGTCCCGAGACGCACATGCAGTTCCACGCTCGAACGCACGTCACCATTGACTGCATTGAAAGTCCCCGCAGCATGATCCGGTCTGAACGCCCCATTAGAGCTGGTCCATACCCCAACCCATACAGGCAAGATCTGAGTACGACTCATGTTTGTACAAAATCCTCCTGAAAAACCAGGGGCCTCTTGTCTGCATCTGTGATCAGATCTCTGTTTATTCTTGTGAGTTCAGGTAGACAGCCGTGTGTTGGTACGTTTGCGGTGAACCAGGAACAGAGCTCTGTCTGTTTGAATAACTAAACCGTGACCTCTGACCTCTGCAGGTCTTGATGCCTCTGACCCCTGTAGGTCCTGATGCCTCTGACCTGTGACCTCTATGTCCCTGTAGGTCATGATGCCTCTGACCTCTCGCCTCTATGTCCATGTAGGTCCTGATGCCGGTGCAAACCCTGTGCTCCTCCCACCTGCAGGGGGCGCCCTTCCCCCACAGAGACAGTCGCCCCAGGGCAGACGCGGCTCGTAAGCTGAGTGCCGTGGAGCGTCTTGAAGCCGACAAAGTGAAGTACGTGAAGAGCCGGCAGGCCCTCAGCCGCCCGCCCCCCATCATCAGGAAACCACTGCTGCCATCAGCCCTCTACTCTGCCCCAGGGCAGATACAGCCTCAGTCCACACGCAGACCCCCCCCCTACAAGGAGGCCACGCCCCACACACACAGGCCGCCGCCCCTCTACAGGGAGAGCACCACCTACAGGACAAACACAGGTCAGTGACACAGTAACAATGTCAGACCCTCACCTTCAACTCATAGGTCTGAGCCCTCACCACAGGGTCTGAACCCTCACTACAGGGTCTGAACCCTCACCACAGGGTCTGAACCCTCACCACAGGGTCTGAACCCTCACCGCAGGGTCTGAGCCCTCACCACAGGGTCTGAACCCTCACTACAGGGTCTGAGCCCTCACTACAGGGTCTGAGCCCTCACCGCAGGGTCTGAGCCCTCACTACAGGGTCTGAACCCTCACCACAGGGTCTGAACCCTCACCACAGGGTCTGAACCCTCACCACAGGGTCTGAGCCCTCACTACAGGGGTCTGAGCCCTCACCACAGGGTCTGAGCCCTCACTACAGGGGTCTGAACCCTCACCACAGGGTCTGAGCCCTCACTACAGGGGTCTGAGCCCTCACTACAGGGTCTGAACCCTCACCACAGGGGTCTGAGCCCTCACCACAGGGTCTGAACCCTCACCACAGGGGTCTGAGCCCTCACTACAGGGGTCTGAGCCCTCACCACAGGGTCTGAACCCTCACCACAGGGTCTGAACCCTCACCACAGGGTTCTGAGCCCTCACCACAGGGGTCTGAGCCCTCACCACAGGGTCTGAACCCTCACCACAGGGGTCTGAACCCTCACCACAGGGTCTGAACCCTCACCACAGGGTTCTGAGCCCTCACCACAGGGTCTGTTTTGGGGCCCCTCTTGCTGATCTATAAAGTAGAACATTATAATTACATATTTCTGTGATGAGAGAGCACCTCAGCTTTAAGTGTCTGTTGTCCCTTTAGGTCGGAGAGGCCCGAGTCTGGACCTGGGCATCCTGAACGACCTGATCAACGTCTGTGATGAAGCCACGCCCCCTTCGCCATCGCCCTCACCTAAGGCCACGGCCCCTTTATCCAGCGAGGGCACCGGGCAGAACTGTTTGAGAGACCAGAACAGACCACCCCCCCTACCGCCCCGCCCCCCAGCAAAGCCCCGCCCCTCTACAAACCTTTTCCCCCCTTCAAAACCCTCCCCCCCTGCCACGCCCCTCCCCCCTCCCCCTTGCCTCCCGCTCATTCGCCGTGTGGATGTTCGGCCTCAGTCTGACCACAGGACACCACAGAGACGCCCCCTCAGGCCCCTCCCCTCTGCTCAGGCCACATCCCCCTGCTCGGCTACGCCCCCTCGCATACCCCCTTCCTCCCCTGCCCTCACCCGTCTCTCGAACTCCAGCTCTCACCGACTGCGGCGCTCTCTCTCTGACCTGAGCGACCGCATGTCCGACCGCGCACTCTTCTTCAGCCTCTGTGGCACCGACCCCAGCGACCTGCAGGCGACCCGGGCCTGCTCGGACATCGTGGAGCCGGCTCGGGCCAGCTCGGACATCGTGGGGTTTGGCTGGAGCGAGGGGGAAGAGGGGGAGGGACGGGAGGAGGCGGAGGAGGGCGGAACCAACGTAGGTCGAACTCCTTACAGCATCTCTGTGGTCGAGAGAAACGCCCGAGTCATCAAGTGGCTGTACGGCATCCGGCAGGCCCGGGACAAGTGACCAATGTGGCCCAGAGACATGGGACCCAAGTGACCAATGTGGCCCAGAGACATGGGACCCAAGTGACCAAAGATCCCAGATCAGGACCTGGGTCAGGGTTATGGAGGTTCATGTGGGAGTGGAGACGACTCAGAACATGTAGAGGGACAACAGAACTGGTCCAAGGACAGAACCTTGGGGAACACCTGAGGAGACCTGGACCCAGAGTCAGACCAGAACCAGAATTGGACCTAGACCATGACCCAGTTTAAGATTGACAAACTGTCCTTTGTCAAAATATTTATTTAATGAAAAGTCCTTCATTAGATCCTTTGACCTCTGACTCTGAGCCGTTTCACTGTGAATCAGAGACAATTTATTTTTGTACTGAGAGAAAAGACGTTTTTAAACCTGTGACACCAGAACATAAAGAGGAAACATGGGTCAAACACACACGGGTCAAACACACACGGGTCAAACGCACACGGGTCAAACACACACGGGTCAAACACACACGGGTCAAACACACACACTACCTCCCGTGGCCGTCCTCCTGTCCGGTCTTTAATGTTTGCAGACATAGAACCCGATCTGTGGAGTATGTCTCTTTCTTTTCTCTCTCTGGTTTCTCTCTGGTCTCTCTCTCTGGTCTCTCTTTCTGCTCTCTCTTTCTGGTATCTCTGGTCTTTGTTCCTGGTCCAGATCAGTGCTGTTGTTTACAATGTTTTTCACTGTGAATAAATAATAAAACACATGTTCTGTTATTTTAGTTCATGTTAGACACACACACTCTCTCTGGCCTCTCTCTGGTCTCTCCCTGGTCTCTCTCTGGTCTCTCCCTGGTCTCTCTCTGGTCTCTCTCTGGTCTCTCTCTGGTCTCTCTCTGGTCTCTCTCTGGTCTCTCTCTGGTCTCTCTCTGGTCTCTCCCTGGTCTCTCTCTGTTCTCTCCCTGGTCTCTCTCTGGTCTCTCTCTGTTCTCTCTCTGGTCTCTCTCTGGTCTCTCCCTGGTCTCTCTCTGGTCTCTCTCTGGTCTCTCTCTGGTCTCTCTCTGGTCTCTCTCTGGTCTCTCTCTGGTCTCTCTCTGGTCTCTCTCTGGTCTCTCCCTGGTCTCTCCCTGGTCTCTCTCTGGTCTCTCTGGTCTCTCTGGTCTCTCTCTGGTCTCTCTCTGGTCTCTCCCTGGTCTCTCCCTGGTCTCTCTCTGGTCTCTCTCTGGTCTCTCTCTGGTCCCTCTCTGGTCTCTCTCTGGTCCCTCTCTGGTCTCTCTCTGGTCTCTCTCTGGCCTCTCTCTGGTCTCTCTCTGGTCTCTCTCTGGTCTCTCCCTGGTCTCTCCCTGGTCTCTCCCTGGTCTCTCTCTGGTCTCTCTGGTCTCTCTCTGGTCTCTGTCTGGTCTCTGTCTGGTCTCTCCCTGGTCTCTCCCTGGTCTCTCTCTGGTCTCTCTGGTCTCTCTCTGGTCTCTCTCTGGTCCCTCTCTGGTCTCCCTCTGGTCCCTCTCTGGTCTCTCTCTGGTTTCTCTCTGGCCTCTCTCTGGTCTCTCTCTGATCTCTCTCTCTGGTCTCTCTCTCTGGTCTCTGGTCTCTCACGGTGATGAATGTTCTGTGAACCATCAGAGTCATGGGATGGCATCAGTGTGATTCCAGAACATTCCACATTAGCATCAAACCCACTGTCTAAACTGGTGGTAACAATTGTGTGTGTGTGTGTGTGTGTATATAGAGATATTGTGTCTTTTACAGCTCAGACATCAAAGCTTCAGCTCTGAGTGAAAGTAGGTCGACAAACGAGCCACTGAAGAGGGGGAGGGGGGTGAGGCTCAGGGGGTGAGGAGGAGGGGTGATGCTGAGGGATGTGCATTATTCATCTTTGGTCTTTAGTGAAACGTCATCTCCTAAGATTAAACACGAACTAGACCAGAGACCAGAGAGAGACCAGAGAGAGACCAGAGAGAGACCAGAGAGAGACCAGAGAGAGACCAGAGAGAGACCAGAGAGAGACCAGAGAGAGACCAGAGAGAGACCAGAGAGAGACCGGAGAGAGACCAGAGACTCGTGTGGGTCCTCCATTGGACCTTCCAATGTGTTTTTTTCTGCAAATGACAAAGAAACTGAATCTGGTGTTCAGTGTTTAATTCATAGTAAAGTATTCATACACAACGTTGTGTGTAAATTTGTGTATATGTGTGTGTAGTAAATGTGTGTGTGTGTGTGTGTGTGTGTATAGAGCTGGATATGGATGTGACCTACTCTCATTCGTTAAGACAAACATTTGAAATCAGATTAACCCCATTCTGGTCTGTAGACTGTGGCCCTGTGTGTGTGTGTGTGTGTGTGTGTGTGTGTGTGTGTGTGTGCGCACTTCAAATCCTGGTGGACCCTGGTGGTGGTGGAGGTATGTCTGCCTCTGCCCCATGTCCCACTGCCTGCATTAAGGCCTCCGTCCCTGGGAAGTCCCACTGCCTGCATTAAGGCCTCTCCGGATGATCTCACACATCGGATATGGAGCGTCATTGCAAATAGGAGAAAGCTACAAAGTTCCATGTGTCTAAAACCTTTTGTCTGGAAATGTTCTGTGTAACTTAAAAAGTAGGCAACAGTAGCTCAATTTGTAGAGAGTTGGCCTTTGGTCCTGAAGGTCGTGGGTTTGAGCCCACCGCGGGACCTACTCCAACTGCTCCCACTGTCTGCTGTCATTGTGTCCTTGGGCAAGACACTTAACCCCACGTTGGCTGAAGCTCCTGCTGAAACACCAAGGCTGTGGCACCACTGACGTCGCTGCCATCTTCCTGTGGACTCACCCCCTGCAGACGATCAGCGAGGGACGGGTGCTGTGTGCATTGGGTGGCAGCTCTGATTGTCACTCCCCCAACCCAGTTTGGGGGAATGAATGAATGAATGAATGAATGAATGAACTTAAATAGTTCCAGCGCAGATCTGAAGCAAAACATAAGCGGCGTTTCCACCGCAGGAACTTTTAATTTTTCAGGGCCAGCCCCATTGGTTATGTGTCTCCACTGAAGGAACTTTCCCCACAGGGCCATTTACAAGAACTTTTATGGGGCCCAACAGAGTCCCACCTCCATGCTAGGTACTCCGTTGGGCAAAGGTGGGACTTGAGGTTAACCCAGCGCTGATTGGCTAAAGCTAGCGCAGACTCAGACCGCTCAGACGCCAGCAGAAAGCGGAAGGTTCCTGTATAAGTTCCACCCGCTCCTTTAACCAGGAACTCCTGCGGTGGAAACGCGGATAAAAATCAAACCGGAGTGTAGAGTGAATCTAAAGTGAGTTGGAAAAAATGGTCCTTCAGAAAGGGTGGGTCCCATATGGCACAGTCCTGTCTTAGGGCCTCACCACGTAGAAAAAATGGGTATGTGTGAACGTATGTTTCACAGATGTCCCCTTTGATACCGGTCTAGTCTCCTCCAACATGTGGACCTTCTAACACATTAATGTTTTGATTTATCCCATCGCACCTTCAATACAAACTCCTCCCACATCCTCAGGCCCCTCCCACATCCTCAGACTGATGATTGTAGTACTGACCTTTTACCAGCACGCGGCAACACTGAGCCACACTCTGTGGTCGGAACCCTCGTGTCGGAACTTTCGCTCTGCTCTGCTGTACCGTCCGGGCCTCACCGCAGCACACATCATGTCGGACGCACATCAGGAGGACTCTCTCCGGGAGTTTCGGGCGGTTACAGACGTTGACGAGGACCGGGCGCGCTTCTTCTTAGAGTCCGCGGGCTGGGATCTCCAGGTAGCCAACATCAGGGCTCTTTTCCCGGGCAGAGTGTCTCCCACGGACCGTCACTGGCGCGGAGCTGCTGTTAGCTCCTGTGCTAACGGCTAACGCACTCCGCCGGGTCCGTGCACGAGCTGCTGTTAGTGCGCAGTCCATGGATCTATAACAAGGACTGAGTCTGATCCGGACGAATGCGGACTGAGGTGGACTGGCCCGGGTCTGTGCGGTTGGAACAGTCTCTGCACAGTTTTAGTTTATAATGACAAGAATAAAGTGTGTTTAGTGACGCGGCACCGGCTTCATTTGTGCAAGTCACTGTCTGACAATAGCACAGGAAGTTTTTAAGTCTCTCAGATACTGTTATTAAAGCTGCGGGACGTGACTTTCACACCACAACAATAGAGCTCTGTATTAAACCCATGTCTCTCTGTCCTGGCTCTAAAACAGTTGCTTCCATCACTAGTTTCACAGGTGTTTCTGTCACATCTATAAAGTGAAACCGAATAATCGACCAGGGCCTTTCTGAGTGGAGTTTGCATGTTCTCCCCGTGTCTGCGTAGGTTTCCTCCGGGTACTCCGGTTTCCCCTACCACTAAAAATATGTACAATAGGTCTGGCATGTGCCTCCTGTACTGGCCCCGCTCCCATCTCTGTGTGGAGTGAGAGACAAATGCCCAAAAATAATAACAATTGTAAACCGCTTTGAGACTCTGGTCTGTGAAAGGCGGTATATAAATAAAGCTTACTTACTTACTTAAAGGCTGTGTTTATTATTACTGTGTCCAAACTGATCTCTTATAGGTCCCTCTCTCTCTGGTCTCTTTCTGGTCTTTTCAGTGTCTCCTCAGCGGTTCTGCTTTCTCGTTCTAGTCTCTGGTTCTAGTCTCTGGTTCTAGTCTCTGGTTCAGGTCTCTGGTTCTGGTCTCTGGTTCAGGTCTCTGGTTCTAGTCTCTGGTTCAGGTCTCTGGTTCTAGTCTCTGGTTCTAGTCTCTGGTTCTAGTCTCTGGTTCAGGTCTCTGGTTCAGGTCTCTGGTTCTAGTCTCTGGTTCTGGTCTCTGGTTCAGGTCTCTGGTTCTGGTCTGACTCTGTGATATCTTTTCTCTCCACAGCTCGCTCTGGGGAACTTCTTTGAGGACGGAGCAGATGAAGATGACATCGTCACACTCCCACAGCCTGAAGGAGGTTCTTCTGTGTCCAGACCCACTGGTCCCAGGTCAGTCCTGTCCACATACTGGACCTGAGCATGCTCCACAGGGAAGTGCTCAGTCAGGTCCTGACAGTTTGTCCTTCTACAGTCTGACAGTGTGTTCCTTTTACAGTCTGACAGTGTGTTTGTACAGTGTGTTCCTTGTACAGTCTGACAGTGTGTTCCTTGTACAGTCTGACAGTGTGTTTGTACAGTGTGTTCCTTGTACAGTCTGGCAGTGTGTTTGCACAGTGTGTTCCTTCTACAGTCTGACAGTGTGTTTGTACAGTGCCCAGCCCAGAGTCACCTCCTTCAGAGACTTGATGCATGAGGCTGAAGACGACAGTGATGAAGAGGAGGGTCAAAGGTCAGTCCTTTATCTCACTGACCCCTGACTGACTGCATGGAAAAGACTGAGCTGGTGTCTCTCACTCCCTCAGGGTGAGGGTCTCTGTCCTAACTGTCTCTCTCCCTCAGGGTGAGGGTCTCTGTCCTGTCTCTCTCCCTCAGGGTGAGGGTCTCTGTCCTAACTGTCTCTCTCCCTCAGGGTGAGGGTCTCTGTCCTAACTGTCTCTCTCCCTCAGGGTGAGGGTCTCTGTCCTGTCTCTCTCCCTCAGGGTGAGGATCTCTGTCCTAACTGTCTCTCTCCCTCAGGGTGAGGGTCTCTGTCCTGTCTCTCTCCCTCAGGGTGAGGGTCTCTGTCCTAACTGTCTCTCTCCCTCAGGGTGAGGGTCTCTGTCCTAACTGTCTCTCTCCCTCAGGGTGAGGGTCTCTGTCCTGTCTCTCTCCCTCAGGGTGAGGGTCTCTGTCCTAACTGTCTCTCTCCCTCAGGATGAGGGTCTCTGTCCTGTCTCTCTCCCTCAGGGTGAGGGTCTCTGTCCTAACTGTCTCTCTCCCTCAGGGTGAGGGTCTCTGTCCTGTCTCTCTCCCTCAGGGTGAGGGTCTCTGTCCTAACTGTCTCTCTCCCTCAGGGTGAGGGTCTCTGTCCTAACTGTCTCTCTCTCAGGGTGAGGGTCTCTGTCCTAACTGTCTCTCTCCCTCAGGGTGAGGGTCTCTGTCCTAACTGTCTCTCTCCCTCAGGGTGAGGGTCTCTGTCCTATCTGTCTCTCTCTCTCAGGGTGAGGGTCTCTGTCCTAACTGTCTCTCTCCCTCAGGGTGAGGGTCTCTGTCCTAACTGTCTCTCTCCCTCAGAGTGAGGGTCTCTGTCCTAACTGTCTCTCTCCCTCAGGGTGAGGGTCTCTGTCGTAACTGTCTCTCTCCCTCAGGGTGAGGGTCTCTGTCCTAACTGTCTCTCTCCCTCAGGGTGAGGGTCTCTGTCCTAACTGTCTCTCTCCCTCAGGGTGAGGATCTCTGTCCTAACTGTCTCTCTCTCAGGATGAGGGTCTCTGGTCTCTGTCGTAACTGTCTCTCTCCCTCAGGATGAGGGTCTCTGTCCTAACTGTCTCTCTCTCTCAGGTTCTTTGCTGGGGGCTCGGAGCGCAGTGGGCAGCAGATTGTGGGACCTCCAAAGAAGAAGAGTTCTAATGAAGTGGTGGAAGATCTGTTTAAAGGAGCCAGAGAACATGGGGCTGTTCCACTGGACCGCAGCGGGCCCCCAGGGGCCCCCAGCCGGGCACAGGTGATGAAGCAGTCACTGTGACTGGTGACCCTCCCTCCCAGGTGTCTGTACAGGAGACACAGGGGTCATAACTGTCACATGACCAAATGTATGTGGTGGGGCAGTGGTTAGCACTCGTGCCTCACAGAGAGAAGGTCTTGGGTTCGATTCCACCTTCAGGGCTTTCTGTGTGCAGTTTGCATGTTCTCCCTGTGTCTCCCTGCTGTATGTGATCATCTCTGTGTATTAAAGCTCTGACTGTATTTGGAGGCGCTATACAAATAAACATGTCTCACTCACAGGCGTTTTTGGGCGGAGGCTATCGTCTGGGTGCGGCGCCGGAGGAGGAGTCTGCGTACGTGAGCGGAGTGAGACGAGGACACAGCCACAACCAGGACGTGAGTGTCCTCTGTCCTCTCTGTGTCCTCTGTCCTCTGTGTCCTCAGTCCTCTCTGTGTCCTCAGTCCTCTGTCCTCTCTGTGTCCTCTGTCCTCTCTGTGTCCTCTGTCCTCTCTGTGTCCTCTGTCCTCTCTGTGTCCTCTGTCCTCTCTGTGTCCTCTGTCCTCTCTGTGTCCTCTGTCGTCTCTGTGTCCTCTGTCCCATCTGTGTCCTCTGTCCTCTCTGTGTCCTCTGTCCCCTCTGTGTCCTCTGTCCTCACTGTGTCCTCTGTCCTCTCTGTGTCCTCAGTCCTCTCTGTGTCCTCTGTCCTCTCTGTGTCCTCTGTCCTCTCTGTGTCCTCTGTCCTCTCTGTGTCCTCTGTCCTCTCTGTGTCCTCAGTCCTCTCTGTGTCCTTAGTCCTCTCTGTGTCCTCTGTCCCCTCTGTGTCCTCTGTCCTCTCTGTGTCCTCTGTCCTCTCTGTGTCCTCTGTCCTCTCTGTGTCCTCTGTCCTCTCTGTGTCCTCTGTCCTCTCTGTGTCCTCTGTCCTCTCTGTGTCCTCTGTCCTCTCTGTGTCCTCAGTCCTCTCTGTGTCCTCTGTCCCCTCTGTGTCCTCTGTCCTCACTGTGTCCTCTGTCCTCTCTGTGTCCTCAGTCCTCTCTGTGTCCTCAGTCCTCTCTGTGTCCTCTGTCCTCTCTGTGTCCTCAGTCCTCTCTGTGTCCTCAGTCCTCTCTGTGTCCTCTGTCCCCTCTGTGTCCTCTGTCCTCTCTGTGTCCTCTGTCCTCTCTGTGTCCTCTGTCCTCTCTGTGTCCTCTGTCCCCTCTGTGTCCTCTGTCCCCTCTGTGTCCTCTGTCCTCTCTGTGTCCTCTGTCGTCTCTGTGTCCTCTGTCCCATCTGTGTCCTCTGTCCTCTCTGTGTCCTCTGTCCTCTCTGTGTCCTCTGTCCTCTCTGTGTCCTCAGTCCGCTCTGTGTCCTCAGTCCTCTCTGTGTCCTCTGTCCTCACTGTGTCCTCTGTCCTCTCTGTGTCCTCAGTCCTCTCTGTGTCCTCAGTCCTCTCTGTGTCCTCTGTCCTCTCTGTGTCCTCAGTCCTCTCTGTGTCCTCAGTCCTCTCTGTGTCCTCAGTCCTCTCTGTGTCCTCAGTCCTCTCTGTGTCCTCAGTCCTCTCTGTGTCCTCAGTCCTCTCTGTGTCCTCAGTCCTCTCTGTGTCCTCAGTCCTCTCTGTGTCCTCAGTCCTCTCTGTGTCCTCAGTCCTCTCTGTGTCCTCTGTCCTCTCTGTGTCCTCAGTCCTCTGTGTCCTCAGTCCTCTCTGTGTCCTCAGTCCTCTCTGTGTCCTCAGTCCTCTCTGTGTCCTCAGTCCTCTCTGTGTCCTCAGTCCTCTCTGTGTCCTCAGTCCTCTCTGTGTCCTCAGTCCTCTCTGTGTCCTCAGTCCTCTCTGTGTCCTCAGTCCTCTCTGTGTCCTCAGTCCTCTGTGTCCTCTGTCCCAGGTCCATGTTGTCCTAAAGCTGTGGAAGAGTGGCTTCAGTTTAGACTCTGGAGAACTGAGAAACTACAGCGACCCGTCAAACGCCAGCTTCCTGGAGGCCATCCGCCGAGGGTAAACCCTGACCTCTGACCCTGAACTGTGACCTCTGACCCTGACGTCTGTACACGCCACATGCGTTAGCGAGTGACAAGCCTGTCACTCCCGTATTCGTCCCGGAAAACGGATTCGTCCGGAAGTTCAGTTTGCGCATGTCAAAAGTTTAATATGTCCTTAAGTGGTGACTGGTTAAGTTTAGGCGTCAGATTAAGATGGTTAAGGTTAGGGTTAAGGTGGTCTGAGTAAGATGGTTAAGGTTAGGGTTAAGGTGGTCTGAGTAAGATGGTTAAGGTTAGAGTTAAGGTGGTCTGAGTAAGATGTTTAAGTTTAGGGTTAAGGCTGGGTTGGGGTTATTTTATGTGAATGGCTGGTTAAGTTTAGGCATGAATAGGTAGTTTTTTATCAGTGTTTCCCACAGGTTTGAAGGCAATGTGTGGTGGTGGTCGTCGGCAGGGGGGGGGGGGGGGGTCGGCCGGCCGGCAAAAATTAACAATGACATCGTTAATTGGTCAAATACAGCTTTATTGGACTGATCAAAATATCAAACATTATTCACACGCTGTATATTACACTATAAATACTGTTAACGCTGTATAAAGCTACTTGTTGCAAAAAATAACATTATTCACACGCTGTATAAACACTATATTACACTATAAATACTGTTAACGCTGTATAAACCTACTTGTTGCAAAGTTTGCATGTTTTATCAGAGCACCTGATTTTTCGGGGCTGGCGAAAAAAAGATTTTAATGCCATATCATAAGGGAAGTCCTCAGGACAGGGTCCATTGATGGAGATCCTCAAGCAAGCTGCCAGGTGTTCTCCTTGCAGTTTGTTCCTGAGGTCTGTTTTCACCTGGAGATAAAGCAAAATGATAAATTATTATCAATGCAAAATGCACCAATATAAAGACAATGGGAATTTTTTATTGCCATTACCCTGTTCATTGCAGAGAAATCCCGTTCACAGTTCACAGAGGAAACAGGGATAACCAAAGCAATGCTTGCCAGAAGGCTCAGGCAGGGGTAGAGGTTGGCCCACTCATCAAACTCACTTGCCAGTAAACACAAGAGCTCCTCCTGGTTCTTGTTCTTGAAAGATAAGGGTTTGTCGTGGCATTAGTGTGTGTGTGTGTGTGTGTGTGTGTGTGTGTGTGTCAGGTCAATTCACTGACCTTGAATATAATATTGAATATAATCAATTCTATCTCGTTCTCTCCCTGACCCTGTCTTTCTGCTTGAGCAGCACTGGTTGAAGCCTGAAAATATTGTAAACAACTTATATAGCTAATTACACTGCGGACTGTTTCAGACCGATACCTCTGGTTCAGGCTGATCCTCATCCTCAACGCGTGTCTTTTTCAATCGCGGAAAATATTGTTCAATACTCATCTGGATTGAAGCAGCAAACATTCAGTGTAAGAGTAAAAACATGACATAACGTTACTTATAACTTTATTTCTTGCTACAGCTGCTACATAGTGTTTTGACCCCGACAACCCAACTACATACCGCAAACTTGCGACTAATTAACTTTATAAAGAAAGCGTCATCGCTTGTTAAGGGAGTCGGGACGGAAATTCAACATTGACACTGAACATTCAGCACTTTTTAATGTGTGATTTACGAGATCACGGGATACCAACCTTTAGTGAACTTCACCAGCCGTCTTCTCTGCACCAAAATTAATAGACACAGCTGCTTACAGCGATGATCGCTGATGGAGACGGAGACACGCGGTGTGCACGAAGGGGAGGGGCTGTGTGTGTGTAGGTCTCTGTATGTGGGAGAGACGCGTAGCTTGAGTGAGAGTTACGAAGGGCCGCCACATTTTAAACCCCCCTCCCCGCTGTCAAATTGACCGCTGCGGTGGCACTAGACGATGCATGTTTTAAATAGCGTAACAAAAAAAATATATATATATAATAATACGAAACGCAATTTGTGGCGGGCGGTCTCTAATCTGTGGCGGTGCGCCACAGATTAGTCTATGTGTGGGAAACACTGTTTTTATATTTACTTCCGCTTCCGTCCAGATTCCGTGACGTAATCTACTGCTGCATATGATCATTGGATCAAACTGAACTTCCGGACGAATCCGGTTTCCGGGACGAGTACGGGAGTGTCAAGCGCCTTCTCAGCCCTGACAGGCTGATTAAGGTGTTTTTTGTCAGAATGTATCAAATGTGTCGGCGCCTCTGACAACTAGTGGACAAATGTCGCCATAGCGGCTTCTGAATATCTCCAACACGGCTTTTAACCCATTGCCTGCCAGCCTATTTCAGAACAGATACTCCCACATTGCCAGCAGTTTCTGATGGCTTTTTACTGGTTTTTCAAGCTCCCAAAAATAACAATTGTAAACTGCTTTGAGACTCCGATGTGCAGTGAAAAGGCGGTATATAAATAAAGATTACTTAATACTACTACTACTTACCCACTGATGACTGCTGCTGTTGTGTCCAAGACACTTAACCTCTGGGAACACCAGGTAAAGTGCCAAACTGCCATAGTGTCCTTAGGCAAGACACTTCACTCACATTGCCTAGAATGAGTCTGGTGTGTGTGTGAATGGTTGGTGGTGGTGGGAGGGGTAGATGGCACCTCACTGCCTCGCTTCTGTCAGTGTGCCCCAGGGCAGCTGTGGCTACAGTAGTAGTTTATCACCACTAGTGAATGAATAATGACACATGTGAAGTGTCTTTGAGTGTCCAAACAAGCGCTATATAAGACCGATTTTATTATCATTATTATTATTATTATGAACCAATGAGAAGCCGGGAAATGCATTGAGCCAATGAAACGCTGCGACACTGACACTGTTGATACACGAAGCAAAGCAGTGGCTGCAGGTTGCTTCAAGAAGAGCCACACGAGCTCCGGAGCGTCTCTATCGTTTTCTCATCACTACTGACCTCTGACCCCTGACCCCTGTGATGCTGTGGGGAGCAGGACTGTGGGGTGTGTCCTGCTCATCTCTCGGGGAGGACCCAAAACATCACCCTGCAGTGACATCACATGTACGTCTCCCTCTCTCCCCCACAGAGAGATCCCCCTGGAGCTGAGGCAGAGGGCCAGAGGAGGACAGGTGAACCTGGACATGGAGGACCACAGGGACGAGGACTTCGTCAAACCCAAGCTGGTCTTCAAGGCGTTCGGAGGAGAAGGGCAGAAGCTGGGCAGGTGTGACATCACTCTCCCCCTCTCCTCCCTCTCTCACCCCAGTCCTCCCATTAGATCCACCTGTAAATCTGTCTGCTCCTGTTTTCAGCGCCACGCCTCAGCTGGTCCCGCCCACTTCCTCTCACAACGACCAATCTGCAGCTGAGTCTGAGGCGAGTGCCGCTGTGGGCGTCGACCCGTCTGCACCAATCACAAACATCCAAATCAGACTGAGTGACGGAGGGAGACTGGTGCAGAGGTTCAACCACACACACAGGTATACACACACACACACACAGGTATACACACACACACACACACACACACACACACACACACACACACAGGTATATACACACACACACAGGTATGTATACACACACACACAGGTATATACACACAGGTGTGTATACACACACAGGTGTATACACACACACACAGGTGTATACACACACACACAGGTATATACACACACAGGTATATACACACACACACACACACACAGGTGTATACACACACACACAGGTGTATACACACACACACACAGGTATATACACACACACACAGGTATATACACACACACACATGTATATACACACACACACAGGTATATACACACACACACAGGTGTGTATACACACACAGGTGTGTATACACACACAGGTGTGTACACACACACAGGTGTGTATACACACACAGGTGTGTACACACACACACAGGTGTGTACACACACACACAGGTATGTACACACACACACAGGTGTATATACACACACACACAGGTGTGTATACACACAGGTATATACACACACACACACAGGTGTGTACACACACACAGGTGTGTATACACAGGCGTATACACACATTCATATACACAGGTATATACACAGAAGGTGGAGTTTGCATGTTCTCCCTGTGTCTGCGTAGGAGAGTACAGTACAACAGTTGTGAGTTTGAATCCAAGTTGCTGAACAGGTTCTGACCTGGTGTGTGGTTGCCATGGTTACAGGGTAGCAGATCTGCGGAGCTTCCTGGTGGCGGCGAGGCCCTCGATGGCGGCGCAGGAGTTTGTTCTCATGACGACGTTTCCAAACAAAGAGCTGGAAGACGAGAGTCTCACTCTGAGTGACGCCAACCTCCTGAACGCTGTCATCGTGCAGAGGCTGAAGTGAGAGGGGAGGGGCCAGGACCCGTCTCGGACCTGATGAACGTTCCTTTAGTTTTTTCTCATATTTCTCTCCACTTGCCGGTCCACAGATCTGATGTGTTTGAGGTATTGCCGTGGTAACGCTTGGTGATTGTGATCTGAGGAAGTGTGGATGTTTTTTTTAAGGCGATATTAAAATGCAAATAATAAAAACCATTTACTGACATTACTGGGTCCTCCTCTCGTGTGTGTGCCATATCATAAACCTGCCCCCCACTGGACCGGGTCTGGACCGGGTCTGCTGCTCAAAGCCCATGTGTTTGTGTTTCATCCCCTGTGTCCCCTCGTAACAGTGAATAACACAAGGGTTAATACAGCTGTACAACATTTTAAACCTTTTTTCCTCTTCTAACTGTATTTACAAGTACCAGTGTGTGTGTGTGTGTGTGTGTATCATGGGAGGGGTTAGGGTTAGCGTATAAAGTAAATCGTAGCATTAGTGTGTATTTATAGAATATATTAATATTTTGCACAGTGGTCATCTGCTCTTTATGGACAATGGTTCTACAAGTTCACTGTGTTTGATTCTCTGATCTGTGTTGGTGAGTCAACAACAGTCCAAGATAATTACTGTTGCGATGTAGGGCTTTGAAATATACACTGAATTGTATTTATTATTAAAGTAATGAAAGTGCAAGTGACAACTCACTTAAGGCTGTAGTACTGCTGTTCGCCAAAAGGGGAGCCAAAGGGAGGCCTGAAGTTGTCTTGGGTGGATTATATATATATATTGCAAATGTTAACTGAGTGCATACTGAAGCCAGGACTGTATCAGACTAGTGAGGAGGGAGCAGTGTCTGCAGTCAGCTCTAGCCCCCTTCTTTCCTCAGGTCAGGACTTTGGGTATTGACCGAGAGGATGAGATACTAGTCCACATGCATTGCCTCCAGAGTGGCGCTCAGTCAGAGGAGCTCGGAATAGAGCCGCTGCTCCCTTAGAGATGAAGGAGCTTTAGTCACAGGAGGAGTTCGGGGTAGAGTTGCTATGTCTCCACGTGGAGAGGAGCTCATGGAGGTGGCTCATCTGTTTAGGATGCCTCCTGCACGTCTCCATGGGGAGGTGTGGGGCATGTCCAACCGGGAGGAGACCAGGGGAAGACCCAGGACACAGAGGGACTGTGCCTCAGCTCAAACACTGGGCTGATTGACGCAGACCCCGGATCCCTGGTGGAATCAAGAGTGTGATAATGCAGTGAAAAAAAGGAAGCAGGCTTATTCTAAAGCACGTAAATATCCCACACAAGAAAATGTTATTGAGTATAAGAGGTGTAGGGCAATAGCTAAGAAAACAATAAAATCAGAAAGGAAAAAAAGTTGGAGACAGTTCTGTAGCACATTAGGGCCAGAGACCCCAGCTCAGCATTTGTGGAGACGGATCCACCGTATGTCTGGTAAATTAGTGAGCCCTTGCATGCCAGTACTCTGTGATGGGCAGGTTGAAGCAACTAATAGTAAAGAAAAGGCAGACATGTGTGTTAAAGTATTTCAAGATGTTCATAACTCGAGGTTTTTAATCAGAAAAAATGATTAGATTACGTGAGGACTTGTCAAAGAATAGGTTTAAGTTGACAGGAGAAACTGAGTCAGATAAGCCATATAACCTGTTCTTTTCCATGAGAGCTGGAGGATGCTGTCCAGGCAGGAGCTAACACGACTCCAGGGAAAGATGGAATCAGCTATAAGCTTTTACACCACCTGGATGAAGGTACATTGCATGAGATTCTTGTCTTATTTAACTACATCTGGGAGGAGGGCGTGTTACCAAGGGCTTGGAAGCATGCTGTCATCGTGCCTATTGTGAAGCCAGGAAAGGATCCGTCCTCTCCGTCATCGTACAGGCCAATAGCTTTGACATCTGTGTTGTGTAAGGTGATGGAGAGGATGGTCACTAATAGACTCGTTTATTTTTTGGAAACCACAGGGTTTTTTGTCAAGTATCAAAATGGTTTTAGAAGAGGAAGAAGTACAAGTGAATCAGTGGCGGTTTTAGACCGAGATGTCAGGAGAGCTATTATTAAAAAAAGAAGCTGTTCTAGCTGTGTTTTTAGATATAGAAAAGGCATATGACAGTATGTGGAGAGAGGGTTCACTTCTTAAGTTATATGATGCTGGGGTGCATGGAAGGTTGTTCCATTGGGTCAAAAACTTCCTTAGTGATAGATCAATCCAGGTGAGAATTCGAAATGTATTGTCAGGTGCTGTAGAGGTAGCCAATGGAACACCACAAGGAGCAGTGATTAGCCCAGTATTGTTTAACATAATGATTAATAATGTTTTTGAAGGAGTGGATTACAGATTTGGTAAATCTCTCTTTGCTGACGACGGTGCAATTTGGAAGAGCGGGAGGAACCTCAATCATTTGTTCTCTCAAACACAGAACGCTTTAGATCAAATTATTCAGTGGGTAAGTAAGTAGTAGTAGTAGTAAGTAATCTTTATTTATATACCTCCTTTTCACTGCAGATCTGAGTCTCAAAGCGGTTTACAATTGTTAATTATGGGCATTTATCTCTCACTCCACACAGAGATGGGAGCGGGGGTCGCCAGTACAGGAGGCGCATGCCAGACATGCCTATTGGACATATTTTTAGTGGTAGGGGAAACTGGAGTACCCGGAGGAAACCTTCGCAGACACGGGGAGAACATGCAAACTCCACTCAGAAAGGCCCTGGTCCGACTGGGATTCGAACCCAGGACCTTCTTGCTGAGAGGCGAGAGTGCTATCCACTCAGCCACCGTGCCGCCTAGTGGGCAAATTGTTGGGGGTTCAAGTTGTCAATTGACAAAAGTAAATGTATGATTTTTGGGTTGAAGAAAAACATTCCCTCTTGTAATCTCTACATGTATGGATCAGTTATTGAAAGGTTAAAAAGTTTAAATTCTTGGGGCTGTGGTTTGACAAAAAACTAATTTGGAGAGACCATATCGGGAAAATGGTTAGCAAATGTGAGAAAGTTATTAACATTATGAGGAGTCTCTCAGGTAGTGACTGGGGGGCAGAAAGGTACGCCTTACAGCTGATTTACAGGGCTATGATTAGGCCTATTTTAGATTATGACAGTGTAGTTTTTGGGAGTGCCTCTAAATCTGTCTTAGAAGTTTTGGATCGTGTGCAGACTAAAGCTCTAAGAATCTGTTGTGGAGCATTCAGAACTACCTCTATCCCAGCATTGCTTGTGGAAATGGGTGAATTTCCTTTAAGAATGAGACGGGAGAAGCTCGGTGTTCAGTATTGGACTAGATTGGCCGGGGCCAGTAATAGTGTAGCAGCAAAATGCCTTTTGGATGAGTGCTGGGAGTTCAGCAAAAAACAGGACAAGGGAGGTTTTATAATGCATGTTGCGAAGGTTGCAGAGAACTTGGGACTGCAGAAGGATGGAGTGGTGGGGTGGGGGTGGTCTCCAGTTCAGGTTTGGAGGTTGCCTGAGCCTGAGGTTTATGTGGATTTTCTTGGTATGGATTAAGCGGCTGCTTCCAGGTATGTGAAGATGTATTTAAATGAGCAAAAAGATGTTGTCAAAGTTTTCACTGATGGTTCTAAAGAAGAGCAGCCGCAAAGAACGGGTTTGGAATTTATATCGCTCAGTTGCAAATTATGCAAAGCGTCCGTATTACAGACGAGCTGTCGATCTTTTCTGCTGAATTATTTGCTATATTGTGGGCACTGTGGTGGATTAAAAAACGCAATGTTTTACAAGCTGTTATTTGCTCTGATTCTGCTGCTGCACTACTGGCCCTTAGGAGTATGGAGTCAGATGCCAGGCCAGATATGCTCTTGGAGATTTTGTGCTGTTTGAAACAAATTGAGGATGTGGGTGCCTCTGTTTGGTTTGTTTGGGTCCCTGGGCATTCAGGGGTGGAGGGAAATTAAAAGGCTGATGCTCTGGCCAAAGAATCACTTAATAGAGACGCTATAGATTATCATCTTCATTTGGGGAAAAAAGAGTGTTACAGCATTAGTAAAAAATATTTTCAAATTCAGTGGCAGAAAGAGTGGGAGAGGGAGACCAGGGGGAGACTCTATTATTCATGTCAATCATCAGTCCAAAATAGTTGGCAGCCTGTAGCTGAGGGCCGTAGAGAGGAAGAGGTTCTCACTAGAATCAGACTGGGGCACTGTGGACTTGCAGCTTCTTTGTATAGAATAAGTAAACATGCAGATGGACTGTGCACTTGTGGGACATTGGAGACTTGCCTCACATCTTGTTGTCATGCAGCAAATACTCCAAGGAATGACAACAACTATTTGTGGAATTGGCTGATTTGGGGCTAACTTCTTTTTCATTTAAGTCCATCCATCCATCCATTTTCTACCCTTTAATCCATTTCTGGGTCAGGGGGGTGGCAGTCAGAGATGCCACCCAAGTCTCATAGCACCAGCCCCTCACTGACCCTCTGCAGGTGGTGAGTCCACAGGAGGACGGCTGCTCTCTGAGTGTGAGCATAGCCTTGATCTTTCAGTGGGGGCTTTGGGCAAAGTGGGGTTAAGTGTCTTGCCCAAGGACACAACGACAGCTGTCATCAGTGGGAGTCGGTGGAGAAGGTATAGAGGTGGGAATTGAACCCACGACCTTCAGGCCTGAAGGCCAATGCTCTACCAACTGAGCCACTGTCGCCATTTAAGTCAATTTTTTCAAATTGTGAAAACACTCAAGGAGTTAACAGAGCCATTGTTTTATTCCTCCGCCGCACAGGCACTTTTTTGAGAATTTAGAGTACTGACGGTCTCATAACTGTGGAGGGCAGCATTGCGCACGCCAGCGTACAGCCTGCCGGAATGAATTAGAAGAAGAAGAAGAAGCAGACCCGGATGTTTCACAGGTTGCCAGGTTCACGAGTTTACAGCGAATTTGGCCTTTCAAGTTAGAACAGAAGGATAGGAGCTCTACCGCCGTGTTGCCAGTCTCTAGAGCAGAGACTATCAGCCGTGTTGTCAGTCTCTAGAGCAGAGACCGTATCAGAGCTGTCAGTCTCTAGAGCAGAGACCGTATCAGAGCCGTGATGTCAGTCTCTAGAGCAGAGACCGTATCAGAGCCGTGATGTCAGTCTCTAGAGCAGAGACTATCAGAGCTGTCAGTCTCTAGAGCAGAGACCGTATCAGAGCCGTGATGTCAGTCTCTAGAGCAGAGACCGTATCAGAGCCGTGATGTCAGTCTCTAGAGCAGAGACCGTATCAGAGCCGTGATGTAAGTCTCTAGAGCAGAGACTATCAGAGCTGTCAGTCTCTAGAGCAGAGACTATCAGAGCCGTGTTGTCAGTCTCTAGAGCAGAGACCGTATCAGAGCCGTGTTGTCAGTCTCTAGAGCAGAGACCGTATCAGAGCCGTGTTGTCAGTCTCTAGAGCAGAGACCGTATCAGAGCCGTGTTGTCAGTCTCTAGAGCAGAGACCGTATCAGAGCCGTGTTGTCAGTCTCTAGAGCAGAGACCGTATCAGAGCCGTGTTTTCAGTCTCTAGAGCAGAGACTATCAGAGCTGTCAGTCTCTAGAGCAGAGACTATCAGAGCCGTGTTGTCAGTCTCTAGAGCAGAGACCGTATCAGAGCTGTCAGTCTCTAGAGCAGAGACTGTATCAGAGCCGTGTTGTCAGTCTCTAGAGCAGAGACTATCAGAGCCGTGCTGTCAGTCTACAATAACAACGCACTGTTGTTGTTGTGTTTTCGCGTGTTTCTCCCTTTGACCTGGCAACCACAGAGTCAGAATTCCCCCAGTTTCACAAACACCGTATGGTTATTACAGACACTTCCTCCCGCAACAGACTGCCTCTCCCCGGACTCTCTGTCGGACATTGCGCGGTCCTCTGTCACCGTCTGAAGAGCCACTATCCCCCGCTGCACACACGTGTCTCTCCCCGCGTCTCTGAGGGTGAGTCCCGGCCTGACATGCGCTGAGTCTCGCCCTGTTGCTGGGTGTACCTTTAGCATTGTTAGCTTCAGTCTGGGTGTAGCATTAGCATTGTTAGCTTCAGTCTGGGTGTAGCATTAGCATTGTTAGCTTCAGTCTGGGTGTAGCATTAGCATTGTTGGCTTCAGTCTGGGTGTAGCTTTAGCATTGTTAGCTTCAGTCTGGGTGTAGCTTTAGCATTGTTAGCTTCAGTCTGGGTGTAGCATTAGCATTGTTAGCTTCAGTCTGGGTGTAGCATTAGCATTGTTAGCTTCAGTCTGGGTGTAGCTTTAGCATTGTTAGCTTCAGTCTGACGTCGCCTACTCTTTCATCACATGTGTCTCTTTAAAGCACTATAACGTAATAAACAGCAGTGTTACCTGTTATTACACAGTTATTATATAAGATAATGATATATCATTTAATCTGATTAGAAGCAGTGTTTCTGCTGATGTAGGTTAAGTTTCCACGCAGTGCTGTCACGGCCTCCTGTTACTGCGAACACTCAAATGAAATATATTCAGTATTAGATATATATAAACCTCACCTGTGGCCTGCTCTGGTATTTTACTCTTATTAACATGTTACTCTCTGGCTGCAGAAGCATGGGGCTGTCAGGAAGTCGTCTTTATGGTTATTATTCATTTAGACTATTAGAAGATGTTTCCATTTATGGTCTTAACATGTTATAACACACGAGTTATTAAGACACAATACTCACAGTAGTATGCAGTATAAATATATATGTGTGTGTTTGTGTCTGTTGTATTGTGATGTAGAAACATTTGTTTTGGGTCATAATGTTCAACAGTCACTTGGGCCTGTCTTATATATTATTATTCTGTATATTGTACATTATACAGTGCATATTACTGTGAGTGTTGTGTCTGTATAACACATGTTATTACACACACACACATGCACACACACACCTATGGCTGAGGCATTGAGGCATAAGACTTCACTGAGGACTGAGGACATTAACTGCAGGACACAGGGCAGAGGAAACAGGACAGGTTCTGAAAGACTCGTTGGTGTGATGCTGCAGATGTGTTTTGGTTCCACACAGAGAAGGATCTCACTTTACTTTTGAATATTTAATGAGGGGGAGGGCCTAAATGGGACTTAATGGAGCTTAATGGGACTTAATGGGACATCATTGATAAATCAGTATCATACACTGTAGCTGTAACACTGCAACATTTTAAGTCAAAAGAAGGAAACTCAGCTTTAATAGATCCAGTAGTCTGCATGGGAATTTATCTTAAAGGAGCCACAGCACAGTTTTCCCACAGCCCATAATTTTAACATTGAAATATAATGAGTTTAATCTTTAGAGTGTCTTCAAGAGAAGTAAAAAATTGGATGAGTCTTATGCTCCGTCATACATTACAAAACCTGCTGACATTAGAGTCTGCTAGTTCCCAACTTCCCTCTGACGTAAGTGTTTGCTAGTTCCCTTCAATAACAAATACAAAGCTCCTGTTATGACGCAGACCTCTGGATCTTTGAATCTATGAGATGCTGTTGATGCAGAACTGTTTTTGTTGTTTCCATTTGTTTTCAGACACATCTTATCCCTGCATAGTATAGTATGTTGCTATGGTAACCGTCTCTGGTTCAGTCCAAAATGGCAAAAGTGCTGCTGTCAAAACTGCAACAGAGTTTTTCCCCTTGTTTTACTCTTTGGTGTGGGTGTAGGAGACTGAGGTGAGGGTGTAGGAGACTGAGGTGAGGGTGTGGGAGACTGAGGTGAAGGTGTAGGAGACTGAGGTGAGGGTGTAGGAGACTGAGGTGAAGGTTTAGGAGACTGAGGTGAGGGTGTAGGAGACTGAGGTGAAGGTTTAGGAGACTGAGGTGAGGGTGTGGGAGACTGAGGTGAGGGTGTAGGAGACTGAGGTGAGGGTGTGGGAGACTGAGGTGAGGGTGTGACTGAGGTGAAGGTGTGGGAGACTGAGGTGAGGGTGTAGGAGACTGAGGTGAGGGTGTAGGAGACTGAGGTGAGGGTGGTTGTGGAGACTGAGGTGAGGGTGTGGGAGACTGAGGTGAGGTGTAGGAGACTGAGGTGAGGGTGTAGGAGACTGAGGTGAGGGTGTAGGAGACTGAGGTGAGGGTGTGGGAGACTGAGGTGAGGGTGTAGGAGACTGAGGTGAGGGTGTGGAGACTGAGGTGAGAGGTGTGGGGAGACTGAGGTGAGGGTGTGTGGAGACTGAGGTGAGGGTGTAGGAGACTGAGGTGAGGGGTGAGGACTGAGGTGAGGGTGTGGAGACTGAGGTGAGGTGTGGGATGAGGTGAGGTGTGGAGACTGAGGGTGTGAGGAGCTGAGGTGAGGGTGTGGGAGACTGAGGTGAGGGTGTGGGAGACTGAGGTGAGGGTGTGGGAGACTGAGGTGAGGGTGTGGGAGACTGAGGTGAGGGTGTGGGAGACTGAGGTGAGGGTGTAGGAGACTGAGGTGAGGGTGTGGGAGACTGAGGTGAGGGTGTAGGAGACTGAGGTGAGGGTGTGGGAGACTGAGGTGAGGGTGTAGGAGACTGAGGTGAGGGTGTGGAGACTGAGGTGAGGGTGTGTAGACTGAGGTGAGGGTGTGGGAGACTGAGGTGAGGGTGTAGGGAGGAGACTGAGGTGAGGGTGTAGGAGACTGAGGTGAGGGTGTAGGAGACTGAGGTGAGGGTGTAGGAGACTGAGGTGAGGGTGTGTGGAGACTGAGGTGAGGGTGTAGGAGACTGAGGTGAGGGTGTGGGAGACTGAGGTGAGGGTGTAGGAGACTGAGGTGAGGGTGTAGGAGACTGAGGTGAGGGTGTAGGAGACTGAGGTGAGGGTGTGGGGAGACTGAGGTGAGGGTGAGGGTGAGGTGTGGAGACTGAGGTGAGGGTGTGGGAGACTGAGGTGAGGGTGAGGGTGTGGGAGACTGAGGTGAGGGTGTGGGAGACTGAGGTGAGGGTGAGGGGGTGTGGAGACTGAGGTGAGGGTGTGGGAGACTGAGGTGAGGGTGAGGTGTAGGAGACTGAGGTGAGGGTGTGGGAGACTGAGGTGAGGGTGTGGAGACTGAGGTGAGGGTGTGGAGACTGAGGTGAGGGTGTAGGAGACTGAGGTGAGGGTGTAGGAGACTGAGGTGAGGGTGTGGGAGACTGAGGTGAGGGTGTAGGAGACTGAGGTGAGGGTGTGGGAGACTGAGGTGAGGGTGTGGGAGACTGAGGTGAGGGTGTAGGAGACTGAGGTGAGGGTGTAGGAGACTGAGGTGAGGGTGTAGGAGACTGAGGTGAGGGTGTGGGAGACTGAGGGTGTGGGAGACTGAGGTGAGGGTGTAGGAGACTGAGGTGAGGGTGTAGGAGACTGAGGTGAGGGTGTGGGAGACTGAGGTGAGGGTGTAGGAGACTGAGGTGAGGGTGTGGGAGACTGAGGTGAGGGTGTGGAGACTGAGGTGAGGGTGTGGAGACTGAGGTGAGGGTGTGGGAGACTGAGGTGAGGGTGTGGGAGACTGAGGTGAGGGTGTGGGAGACTGAGGTGAGGGTGTAGGAGACTGAGGTGAGGGTGTGGGAGACTGAGGTGAGGGTGTGGGAGACTGAGGTGAGGGTGTGGGAGACTGAGGTGAGGGTGTGGGAGACTGAGGTGAGGGTGTGGGAGACTGAGGTGAGGGTGTGTGAGACTGAGGTGAGGGTGTGGGAGACTGAGGTGAGGGTGTGGGAGACTGAGGTGAGGGTGTGGGAGACTGAGGTGAGGGTGTGTGGGAGACTGAGGTGAGGGTGTGGAGACTGAGGTGAGGTGAGGGGTGGGAGACTGAGGTGAGGGTGTGGGAGACTGAGGTGAGGGTGTGGGAGACTGAGGTGAGGGTGTGGAGACTGAGGTGAGGGTGTGGGAGACTGAGGTGAGGGTGTGGGAGACTGAGGTGAGGGTGTGGGAGACTGAGGTGAGGGTGTGGGAGACTGAGGTGAGGGTGTGGGAGACTGAGGTGAGGGTGTGGAGACTGAGGTGAGGGTGTGGGAGACTGAGGTGAGGGTGTGGAGACTGAGGTGAGGGTGTGGTGAGACTGAGGTGAGGGTGTGGAGACTGAGGTGAGGGTGTGGAGTGAGTGAGGTGTGGGAGACTGAGGTGAGGGTGTGGGAGACTGAGGTGAGGGTGTGGGAGACTGAGGTGAGGGTGTGGGAGACTGAGGTGAGGGTGTGGTGAGGGACTGAGGTGAGGGTGTGTAGGAGACTGAGGTGAGGGTGTAGGGAGACTGAGGTGAGGGTGTGGGAGACTGAGGTGAGGGTGTGGGAGACTGAGGTGAGGGTGTGGGAGACTGAGGTGAGGGTGTGTGGGAGAGGGTGAGGGTGTGGAGACTGAGGTGAGGGTGTGGGAGACTGAGGTGAGGGTGTAGGAGACTGAGGTGAGGGTGTGGGAGACTGAGGTGAGGGGTGTGGGAGACTGAGGTGAGGGTGTGGAGACTGAGGTGAGGGTGTAGGAGAGATGAGGTGAGGGTGTAGGAGACTGAGGTGAGGGTGAGGAGACTGAGGTGAGGGTGTGGGAGACTGAGGTGAGGGTGTGGGAGACTGAGGCTGAGGTGAGGTGTGGGAGACTGAGGTGAGGTGTAGGAGATGAGGTGAGGGTGTAGGAGACTGAGGTGAGGGTGTAGGAGACTGAGGTGAGGGTGTAGGAGACTGAGGTGAGGGTGTAGGAGACTGAGGGTGTGGAGACTGAGGTGTGTGGGAGACTGAGGTGAGGGTGTAGGAGACTGAGGTGAGGGTGTAGGAGACTGAGGTGAGGGTGTAGGAGACTGAGGTGAGGGTGTAGGAGACTGAGGTGAGGGTGTAGGAGACTGAGGTGAGGGTGTAGGAGACTGAGGTGAGGTGTAGGAGACTGGTAGGGTGTAGGAGACTGAGGTGAGGGTGTAGGAGACTGAGGTGAGGGTGTAGGAGACTGGGGTGAGGGTGTAGGAGACTGAGGTGAGGGTGTAGGAGACTGAGGTGAGGGGTAGGGACTGAGGTGAGGGTGTGGAGACTGAGGTGAGGGTGGGGAGACTGAGGTGAGGGTGTGGGAGACTGAGGTGAGGGTGTAGGAGACTGAGGTGAGGGTGTGGAGACTGAGGTGAGGGTGTGGGAGACTGAGGTGAGGGTGTGGAGACTGAGGTGAGGGTGTGGGAGACTGAGGTGAGGGTGTGGGAGACTGAGGTGAGGGTGTAGGAGACTGAGGTGAGGGTGTAGGAGACTGAGGTGAGGGTGTAGGAGACTGAGGTGAGGGTGTAGGAGACTGAGGTGAGGGTGTAGGAGACTGAGGTGAGGGTGTAGGAGACTGAGGTGAGGGTGTGGGAGAGGTGAGGGTGTGGGAGACTGAGGTGAGGTGAGGGTGTGGGAGACTGAGGTGAGGGAGGGTGGGAGACTGAGGTGAGGGTGTGGGGAGACTGAGGTGAGGGTGTGGGAGACTGAGGTGAGGGTGTGGGAGACTGAGGTGAGGGTGTAGGAGACTGAGGTGAGGGTGTGGGAGACTGAGGTGAAGGTGTAGGAGACTGAGGTGAGGGTGTGGGAGACTGAGGTGAAGGTGTAGGAGACTGAGGTGAGGGTGTTGGAGACTGAGGTGAGGGTGTAGGAGACTGAGGTGAGGGTGTAGGAGACTGAGGTGAGGGTGTGTGGAGACTGAGGTGAGGGTGTAGGAGACTGAGGTGAGGGTGTAGGAGACTGAGGTGAGGGTGTAGGAGACTGAGGTGAGGGTGTAGGAGACTGAGGTGAGGGTGTAGGAGACTGAGGTGAGGGTGTAGGAGACTGGGTGAGGGTGTAGGAGACTGAGGTGAGGGTGTAGGAGACTGAGGTGAGGGTGTAGGAGACTGAGGTGAGGGTGTAGGAGACTGAGGTGAGGGTGTAGGAGACTGGGTGAGGGTGTAGGAGCTGAGGTGAGGGTGTAGGAGACTGAGGTGAGGGTGTGGAGACTGAGGTGAGGGTGTAGGAGACTGGGGTGAGGGTGTGGAGACTGAGGTGAGGGTGTGGGAGACTGAGGTGAGGGTGTAGGAGACTGAGGTGAGGGTGTAGGAGACTGAGGTGAGGGTGTAGGAGACTGAGGTGAGGGTGTAGGAGACTGAGGTGAGGGTGTAGGAGACTGAGGTGAGGGTGTAGGAGACTGAGGTGAGGGTGTAGGAGACTGAGGTGAGGGTGTGGAGACTGGGGTGAGGGTGTAGGAGACTGGGGTGAGGGTGTAGGAGACTGAGGTGAGGGTGTAGGAGACTGAGGTGAGGGTGTAGGAGACTGAGGTGAGGGTGTAGGAGACTGGGGTGAGGGTGTAGGAGCCTGAGGTGAGGGTGTAGGAGACTGAGGTGAGGGTGTGGGAGACTGAGGTGAGGGTGTAGGAGACTGGGGTGAGGGTGTGGGAGACTGAGGTGAGGGTGTGGGAGACTGAGGTGAGGGTGTAGGAGACTGAGGTGAGGGTGTAGGAGACTGGGGTGAGGGTGTGGGAGACTGGGGTGAGGGTGTGGGAGACTGAGGTGAGGGTGTGGGAGACTGAGGTGAGGGTGTAGGAGACTGTGTCCTCTCTGTCTCTTCTGTGTCCTCACTGTGTCCTCTCTGTCTCTTCTGTGTCCTCACTGTGTCCTCTCTGTCTCTTCTGTGTCCTCACTGTGTCCTCTCTGTCTCTTCTGTGTCCTCACTGTGTCCTCTCTGTCTCTTCTGTGTCCTCACTGTGTCCTCTCTGTCCTCAGATGTCTCTGTACCCGTCTCTGGAGGACCTGAAGGTGGACAAGGTCATGAAGGTACGTCCGGTCCCCCATGTCCCCCATGTGTTAGCTCTGTGTTAGCAGTGTGTTAGCTGTGTGTTCTGCTCTGTCTCCAGGCTCAGATGTCTCACTCTTCTGGTATGATGCCCACTCTCCCCCAGGGCACGTACCAGGCTCTGCCCCAGGGCACTTACCAGGCTCTGCCCCAGGGCACTTACCAGGCTCTGCCCCAGGGCACTTACCAGGCTCTGCCCATGAGTGTTCCTGCTGCTGCCTCCAGTGAGTAACAATCCAGGACTGAGGCTGTAGATCCAGGACTGAGACTGTAGATCCAGGACTGAGGCTGTAGATCCAGGACTGAGGCTGTAGATCCAGGACTGAGGCTGTAGACCCAGGACTGAGGCTGTAGACCCAGGACTGAGGCTGTAGACCCAGGACTGAGGCTGTAGACCCAGGACTGAGGCTGCAGACCCAGGACTGAGACTGCAGACCCAGGACTGAGACTGCAGACCCAGGACTGAGACTGCAGACCCAGGCCTGAGGCTGTAGACCCAGGCCTGAGGCTGCAGACCCAGGCCTGAGGCTGCAGACCCAGGCCTGAGGCTGCAGACCCAGGCCTGAGGCTGCAGACCCAGGTCTGAGGCTGCAGATCCAGGACTGAAGCTGTAGATCTGGTTGTCATTGTGATCAGTTGATATGATCCCGTGTCCTCTGTCCTCAGCCCTGTACCCTGACCTGGGAGACCTCGGGGACTACATGGGACTGTCCCTCAACAGTGAGGAGCTGCAGAAGAACCTGGCCTTGGTCCCTGCGGTCGACAGTGTGAGTGACCTGAGCCCGGGAGGAAGACCATCAGACTGAGGAATGGACAGGGTTGTCATGGTAACATGTGTGTGTCCAGCAGGTGGCGCTGTCCCCGTCCTCTGGGATGGTCGCCCCGGTGACCGGGTCAGATCTGGGGGTCAGGCGAGCTGAGATCCGACCCGGGATCCGAGAGGTCATCCTGTGTAAAGACCAGGACGGACGAGTGGGACTGAGGCTGAGGGCTGTGGACAACGTGAGTCACTGTATGAGACATACCAGACCCAGGACCAGACCCAGGACCAGACCCAGGACCGGACCCACAGTGTCTCTTGCCTCTGTCTGTAGGGTGTGTTCATTCAGCTGGTCCAGGCAAACTCCCCTGCTGCCCTGGCAGGTCTCCGCTTCGGGGACCAGGTTCTGCAGATCAACGGGCAGAATGTGGCCGGATGGAACGTGGACAAGTCCCACAAGGCCCTAAAGACCGCGGCCGAGACCCGCATCGAGATGGTGGTCCGAGACAGGTAATGTAGTCCAGTCCAGGACCGAGGCTGTAGATCCAGGACCGAGGCTGTAGACCCAGGACTAAGGCTGTAGACCCAGGACTGAGGCTTCAGATCCAGGACCGAGGCTGTAGACCCAGGATTAAGGCTGTAGACCCAGGACTAAGGCTGTAGACCCAGGACTGAGGCTGTAGATCCAGGACTAAGAGTGTAGACCCAGGACTGAGGCTGTAGACCCAGGACTGAGGCTGTAGACCCAGGACTGAGGCTGTAGATCCAGGACTGAGGCTGTAGACCCAGGACTTGATTTTCAGAATCTCTGTATTACTGTACTTTTGTTGTGTGTGGCTCCCCCTGCTGGCTTCTGGAGACTCAGCACAAGATGCACTCTGGTAAAACTCCTGCTGTAGGTTCTCTATGTCCCTCAGAGACCCACAGATAGTCCTCTATGTCCCTCAGAGACCCACAGATAGTCCTGGACCTAGTCCTCACACGAGAGATGATGGGCCTCCTCCCTGTCTCACGTATCTCGTCCTCCTGGTGTATCGCTTGTCCTCTGTCCTCTCTGTCTCTCACTCGTCCTCTCTGTCTCTCACTCGTCCTCTGTCCTCTGTCTCTCACTCGTCCTCTGTCCTCTCTGTCTCTCACTCGTCCTCTCTCCTCTCTGTCTCCCACTCGTCCTCTGTCCTCTCTGTCTCTCACTCGTCCTCTGTCCTCTCTGTCTCTCACTCGTCCTCTCTCCTCTCTGTCTCCCACTCGTCCTCTCTCCTCTCTGTCTCTCACTCGTCCTCTGTCCTCTGTCTCTCACTCGTCCTCTGTCCTCTCTGTCTCTCACTCGTCCTCTGTCCTCTCTGTCTCCCACTTGTCCTCTCTCCTCTGTCTCTCACTCGTCCTCTCTCCTCTCTGTCTCTCACCCGTCCCTCTCCTCTCTGTCTCCCACTCGTCCTCTCTCCTCTGTCTCTCACTCGTCCTCTCTCCTCTCTGTCTCTCACCCGTCCCTCTCCTCTGTCTCCCACTTGTCCTCTCCTCGGTCTCTCACTCGTCCTCTCTCCTCTCTGTCTCTCACTCGTCCTCTGTCCTCTCTGTCTCTCACCCGTCCCTCTCCTCTCTGTCTCCCACTCGTCCTCTCTCCTCTCTGTCTCCCACTCGTCCTCTCTCCTCTCTGTCTCCCACTTGTCCTCTCCTCGGTCTCTCACTCGTCCTCTCTCCTCTCTGTCTCTCACTCGTCCTCTGTCCTCTCTGTCTCTCACCCGTCCCTCTCCTCTCTGTCTCCCACTCGTCCTCTCTCCTCTCTGTCTCCCACTCGTCCTCTCTCCTCTCTGTCTCCCACTCGTCCTCTCTCCTCTCTGTCTCCCACTCGTCCTCTCTCCTCTCTGTCTCTCACTCGTCCTCTGTCCTCTCTGTCTCTCACTCGTCCTCTGTCCTCTCTGTCTCCCACTCGTCCTCTCTCCTCTCTGTCTCTCACTCGTCCTCTGTCCTCTCTGTCTCTCACTCGTCCTCTGTCCTCTCTGTCTCTCACTCGTCCTCTGTCCTCTCTGTCTCTCACTCGTCCTCTGTCCTCTCTGTCTCTCACTCGTCCTCTGTCCTCTCTGTCTCCCACTCGTCCTCTCTCCTCTCTGTCTCCCACTCGTCCTCTGTCCTCTCTGTCTCTCACTCGTCCTCTGTCCTCTCTGTCTCTCACTCGTCCTTTGTCCTCTCTGTCTCTCACTCGTCCTCTGTCCTCTCTGTCTCTCACTCGTCCTCTGTCCTCTCTGTCTCCCACTCGTCCTCTCTCCTCTCTGTCTCCCACTCGTCCTCTCTCCTCTCTGTCTCTCACTCGTCCTCTGTCCTCTCTGTCTCTCACTCGTCCTCTGTCCTCTCTGTCTCTCACTCGTCCTCTGTCCTCTCTGTCTCTCACCCGTCCCTCTCCTCTGTCTCCCACTCGTCCTCTCTCCTCTGTCTCCCACTCGTCCTCTCTCCTCTGTCTCTCACTCGTCCTCTCTCCTCTCTGTCTCTCACTCGTCCTCTCTCCTCTCTGTCTCTCACTCGTCCTCTCTCCTCTCTGTCTCTCACTCGTCCTCTGTCCTCTCTGTCTCTCACCCGTCCCTCTCCTCTGTCTCTCACTCGTCCTCTCTCCTCTGTCTCCCACTCGTCCTCTCTCCTCTCTGTCTCACTCGTCCTCTCTCCTCTCTGTCTCCCACTCGTCCTCTCTCCTCTCTGTCTCTCACTCGTCCTCTGTCCTCTCTGTCTCTCACTCGTCCTCTCTCCTCTCTGTCTCTCACTCATCCTCTCTCCTCTCTGTCTCTCACTCATCCTCTCTCCTCTCTGTCTCTCACTCGTCCTCTCTCCTCTCTGTCTCTCACTCGTCCTCTCTCCTCTCTGTCTCTCACTCGTCCTCTGTCCTGTGTCCTCAGACCCTTCCAGAGGACCGTGACGATGCATAAGGACAGCTCGGGACACGTCGGCTTCATTTACAAAAACGGGAAAATCACGTCTTTGGTGAAAGACGGATCTGCAGCTCGCAACGGACTCTTAACAGATCACTACATCTGTGAGATCAACGGGCAGAACGTGATCGGACTCAAGGTAACAGAACACACACACACAACACAGACACACACGGAGAACACAACACAGACAGTCACAACGCAGAGACACACAACACAGACACACGGAGAACACAACACAGACATACACAACGCACAGACACACATCAAAGAGACACACAACACAGACACATGGAGAACACGACACAGACATACACAACGCACAGACACACATCAAAGAGACACACAACACAGACACACGCACACACACAGAGAACACATCATAGACTTACACAACACAGAGAACACAGAGAACACAACACAGAAAACATCATAGACTTACACAATGCAGAGACACACAACACACACACACAGAGACACACAACAAAGAGAACACATTATAGACATACACAACACATAGACACACACACATAGAACACAACACGGAGACACAACACACAGAACAAGCTTAGTAATAACAGTAACTATGGTAATATCATCTGTTGCAGGACTCTCAGATCAAAGACATCCTGAACTCCTCCCCCGGCGCCATGACGATCACCGTGATGCCAAAGGTCATCTACGAACACATCATCAAGAGGTGAACTACTGTACCCTACTGCATTGTACCCTACTGTACTGTACCCTACTGCACTGTACCCTACTGCACTGTACCCTACTGCGCTGTGCTCAACTGTACTGCACTACACCCTACTGTACTGCGCTGTACCCCACTGTACCCTACTGTACTGTACCCTACTGTACTGTACCCTACTGCACTGTACCCTACTGCGCTGTGCTCAACTGTACTGCACTACACCCTACTGTACTGCGCTGTACCCTACTGTACTGTACCCTACTGTACTGTACCCTACTGCACTGTACCCTACTGCGCTGTGCTCAACTGTACTGCACTACACCCTACTGTACTGCACTGTACCCCACTGTGCCCTACTGCACTGTACCCCACTGTGCCCTACTGCACTGTACCCTACTGCACTGTACCCCACTGTACCCTACTGCACTGTACCCCACTGTACTGTGCCCTACTGCACTGTACCCCACTGTACCCTACTGTACTGTACCCTACTGCACTGTACCCTACTGCACTGTGCCCTACTGCACTGTGCTCTACTGCACTGTACCCTACTGCACTGTGCTCAACTGTACTGCACTACACCCTACTGTACCCAACTATACCCTACTGTTCTGCACTGTACCCCACTGTGCCCTACTGCACTGTACCCCACTGTATCCTACTGCACTGTACCCTACTGCACTGTACCCCACTGTGCCCTACTGCACTGTACCCCACTGCACTCTACTGCACTGTACCCTACTGCACTGTACCCCGCTGTGCCCTACTGCACTGTACTCTACTGCACTGTACTCTACTGCACTGTACCCCACTGTGCCCTACTGCACTGTACTCTACTACACTACCCCACTGTACTCTACTGCACTGTACCCTACTGCACTGTACCCTACTGCACTGTACCCCACTGTGCCCTACTGAACTGTACTCTACTACACTACCCCGCTGTACTCTACTGCACTGTACTCTACTGCACTGTACCCTACTGCACTGTACCCTACTGCACTGTACCCTACTGCACTGTACCCTACTGTACTGTACCCTACTGTGCCCTACTGCACTGTACCCTACTGTGCCCTACTGCACTGTACTCTACTGCACTGCACTCTACTGCCCTGTACCCTACCGCACTGTACCCCACTGCACTGTACCCTACTGTGCCCTACTGCACTGTACCCAACTGTATCCTACTGTACTGTACCCTACTGTGCCCTTCTGCACTGTACCCAACTGTATCCTACTGTACTGTACCCTACTGTGCCCTACTGCACTGTGCCCTACTGTACTGTACTCTACTGCACTGTACCCTACTGCACTGTACCCCACTGCACTGTACCCTACTGCACTGTACTCTACTGCACTGTACCCTACTGCACTGTACCCCACTGCACTGTACCCCACTGCACTGTACCCTACTGCACTGTACTCTACTGCACTGTACTCTACTGCACTGTACTCTACTGCACTGTACCCTACTGCACTGTACCCCACTGCACTGTACCCTACTGCACTGTACCCCACTGCACTGTACCCTACTGCACTGTACCCCACTGCACTGTACCCCACTGCACTGTACCCTACTGCACTGTACCCTACTGCACTGTACTCTACTGCACTGTACTCTACTGCACTGTACCCTACTGCACTGTACCCCACTGCACTGTACCCTACTGCACTGTACCCTACTGCACTGTACCCCACTGCACTGTACCCCACTGCACTGTACCCTACTGCACTGTACCCCACTGCACTGTACCCTACTGCACTGTACCCCACTGCACTGTACCCTACTGCACTGTACCCTATTGCACTGTACCCCACTGTACTCTACTGCACTGTACCCCACTGTACCCTAATCTGGTCTGTTTTCCAGGATGTCCTCTGGTCTGCTCCGCTCCGCCATGGACCACTCAGTGCCCGAGGTCTGAGGCCCCTCCCCCTCTGCCTCAGCCATGAGGCTCCTCCCCCTCTGCCTCAGCCATGAGGCCCCTCCCCCTCTGCCGAGTCCCTCTAACCCCTGACCCGGTCTCCGTGACATACATCACTTTATTGCGTCCTAACTCTTTCACTTATGACACTTTTGTACTTTTACTTTTGATTCTTTTGATCCTGTAAAAATCTTCTTAACATTTCCACATGTTTTTATTATGTTTTTATTGTTCTCTCTGTTCAAACGATGCTGTAATAGAATCATGTTCGTGTCGTGTGTAAATAAAGCTCAGTGCGGAACATTTCAGTCAAACTGCAGCAGACATAGGTTTACTCAGACTTTAGTGTGTGACATCACCACAGTGTGACATCACCACAGTGTGACATCACCACAGTGTGACATCACCACAGGGTTAGCCTTGATGGAGAAGAAGCTGATTTGAACATAAACTGGAGCCAGTTTCCTTATATGGGCATTTGTTCTGATGGCATTAGCTTCACACTGTAACAGTGGCAGATGTGTTGCTAAGACGGTTGCTAAGGCAAGCTGTAGTTTCATCCTGAAAGACTGTCTCTGATTGGTCAGTTCTTATATGCATCGTATCTGAATTAAGACATTATCACATATGAACAGCAGGATGACAGAGCGATAAACCTTTAGGTCTAATGGAAGTCAATAGGAGTCGGAGAGAGCTTGGGGTTAGCATAAAGCTAGCAGGTTAGCATAAAGCTAGCAGGTTAGCATGACTGCAGCCGTTTGGACCAAAGTCACATCGAGTCTGAGCCAATCCTGTTTGCTTTCAGTTTGAAATAAAGACATCAGAGCCCCGCCCACAGAGCCATAGAAGGGACTTCAGTCGTCATGGTGACTGCGACTGTCCCAACGAGGGGACGACCTCTCACTGCAGATGAGAACCATATGGACACCACAAAAGCAAGTCACCTTCCCTTTTATGGCTCTGTCGCCACGGGGACTCGGACACTAAGTGCACTTTTGACTGAGAACGCCCTGACTCCTGGAGGAGACTCCTCCTGGGGGAGACTCCTCCTGAGGGAGACTCCTCCTGAGGGAGACTCCTCCTGAGGAAGACTCCTCCTGAGGGAGACTCCTCCTGAGGGAGACTCCTCCTGAGGGAGACTCCTCCTGAGGGAGACTCCTCCTGGGGGAGACTCCTCCTGGGGGAGACTCCTCCTGAGGGAGACTCCTCCTGGGGGAGACTCCTCCTGGGGGAGACTCCTCCTGGGGCAGACCGACTGCTTCTCCTGATGCTGTTTCTGATATTTGTTTCTGATGTTTGTATCGAATGTAACAAGAAAAAATATCATCAATAAACGTCTCCTGTTCAAACGAGTAGTTGGTCTCTAAACCCTCTCTTCGCCTCACTCTCCCACATCATGAGGGATCGGATTCACAGTCTCATCATGAGGTCATACAAAACCTCTCTCGGCTCCCGCCTAACTCCAAACGCGTTAGTGTCATATCAACTAAACTCACTGCTTTTTCAAAACGCTAAACGTCCTCAGCCTTCGACACGGTTGACCACCAGATCCTGCCGAGAAGACTGAGGGATGAAGTCGGACTGTCAGGGTCTCTTCTTCTTCAGTGGTTCTCTTCCTACTTATCTGGGCGGAGTTTCAGTGTTACCACAAACCAAATCAGGTCTGAGTCAGCAGATCTGTGGTGTGGAGTGCCTCAAGGCTCAGTCTTAGGCCCTGTATTATTTTTGTTGTATGTGCTCCCTTTGGGAAAGATTTTTCAAAGTTGCTGTGATGTTTCTTATCAAATGTTTGCAGATCCAGATTTATTGCACTTTTAACCCAACAAAGCTCCACAGGCTCGATTCCTTAGTTCGTTGCCTAGTGGAAATTAAGCAGTGGCTAAGTGAGAACACTTTGCAGCTGAATTCGGACCAGACCGAAACACTAGTTACACTAGATTCAGGGATGAAACAATACTTGGGTGATGTAGGCCAGTCTGGTAAACCGAGCCTTAGAAATCTGGATGTTATTTTTGACAAGGATATGTCGCTTGTTCAACACTGCAAACCGCTCACCAAAAATTGCTTTTTTCAGCTGAGAAACATCTCCAAATGTAAGAAAATTGTGTCACAGAACGACTTGGAGCTCATAATTCATGCCTTTGTGTCTTCTTGATCATTGTAACAGTTTGTTTTCATGTTTGAACAAGAAGGAACTGTCGCGTCTGCAGTTAGTGCAAAACTCTGCAGCTTGGGTTCTCACGCACAAACAGGAGGAGCACATCACCCCGGTCCTCTAAGCTCTCCACTGGCTGCAGCTGTGTCCTACAGGATACATTTTAAAAATATTGGTGCTGACGTTCAGAGCTCTACATGGTCAGGCTCCTCCTTATATCAGCAATCAGATCCAGCCTTATACCACTCGGGTCCTGAGGTCTGTGGGTCAGAACCTGGTGACGGTCCCACGCACGCGCTTTCGGACCAGGGGAGACCGCTCCTTCCTGTTGCGCCTAAGCTCTGGAACAGTCTTCCACTCTCTCTGCGGCTGATGGAGTCTGTTGACTCATTCAAAGGTCAGCTAAAAACCTACTTATTTGTGCAGCTTTTACAAAATTTTCTTGCGGCTGTTTCAAACCTAAGTTGTCTTGGCCATTACATTTTTATTTTTTTTATTTTATTTTAAATTGTATTTTGTCTGTTTTTAACTGTTTTAAATGCGCTTTTTGGCCTTGGTCCTGGCTCTACAACCTCAGTCCTGGATCTACAGCCTCAGTCCTGGCTCTACAGCCTCAGTCCTGGGTCTAGAGCCTCAGTCCTGGGTCTAAAGCCTCAGTCCTGGGTCTGAAGCCTCAGTCCTGGGTCTGAAGCCTCAGTCCTGGGTCTAAAGCCTCAGTCCTGGGTCTACAGCCTCAGTCCCGGGTCTACAGCCTCAGTCCTGGATCTACAGCCTCAGTCCTGGGTCTACAGCCTCAGTCCTGGATCTACAGCATCAGTCCTGGATCTACAGCCTCAGTCCTGGGTCTAAAGACTCAGTCCTGGATCTACAGCCTCAGTCCTGGATCTACAGCCTCAGTCCTGGGTCTAAAGCCTCAGTCCTGGGTCTACAGCCTCAGTCCTGGGTCTACAGCCTCAGTCCTGGGTCTACAGGGTTTACAGCCTCAGTCCTGGGTCTACAGGGTTTACAGCCTCAGTCCTGGGTCTACAGCCTCAGTCCTGGGTATAAAGCCTCAGTCCTGGGTCTACAGCCTCAGTCCTGGGTCTAAAGCCTCAGTCCTGGGTCTACAGGGTTTACAGCCTCAGTCCTGTGTCTACAGGGTTTACAGCCTCAGTCCTGGGTCTACAGCAGGTATGTCCAAACGCAGTGGATCAACAGCCCATTTTAAATTCCAGGATCCAGCTCGAATCCAGTTTTTAAATCCGGGTTGTCAGCCCCAGCTCAAGTCTGATGAATTAAAGTGGCCCTCTTACTTAAAAGTTTGGACACCCCTGGTCTACAGCCTCAGTCCCGCTCCCTATGGACCAATGACTGTGTTTTTTATTATTGTATTCCTTCTGATTGTGGTTGTGATTCAGGGCGATAATAATTAAATAGAACATAATAATCACATGAATAAAACCCGTTTGTTTCATGCTTTTATTGAATTTTTACAGAATAACTTTACACAGAATCTCAGTTACAGGATTCAGTGATTTATAATAGATCTGTTTCTTATGCACATGTGCAGACGGTGAGACCCTAGTGTGGACCCTAGTGTTTAATCTAGTGAGATCCTAGTGAGACCCCAGCTTTAAAGTCCCGTACCCAGCTCTCGTGTTGCTCTTTGGTTGGGGACACATTCATTTCTGTGGATGAATAAAAGTAGTTTTCTTCGGTGCAGTTTTTTCTGACTTAAATAAATAAATGATAAAACAGTGACCTGCATCTGTGTTTATCTTCATCCACACTTTCACTATATGGCTTTTATTCTTCTATTCACATTCCTCCAATCACAGCTCGGCTCCATGTGAGCGGCCAATCACAGCTCGGCTCCATGTGAGCGGCCAATCACAGCTCGGCTCCATGAGAGCGGCCAATCACAGCTCAGCTCCGTGAGAGCGGCCAATCACAGCTCAGCTCCATGTGAGCGGCCAATCACAGCTCGGCTCCATGTGAGCGGCCAATCACAGCTCGGCTCCATGTGAGCGGCCAATCACAGCTCGGCATGATGATTGTCTATGAAATGTGTTAGTTCTAATTTTTAAACAGTAAAATGAGACGAACGCACTGTATAGCTGCTGTTAGTATCTGTTTCCACAATCTCCAACCAACCTCTGAGGGGCGGGGTTTCAAAATGAGGGGGCGGGTCTTTGACATATTTAACGCGGTGTAGAATAACAACACAAGAACAAGATGGCGACGCTTCAATATCCCAGGTCCCCTCCTCACATGTCCCCGCCCCCTGCTCCCGCACTTCCTCCCCCTCCTCACATGTCCCCGCCCCCTGCTCCCGCACTTCCTCCCCCTCCTCACATGTCCCCGCCCCCTGCTCCCGCACTTCCTCCCCCTCCTCCTCCACCCCTGGCCCCTCCCCCTCTCCTTAGAGAATGTAGAGCCACAGAGCAGCAGCCGCGCATCAGAGACCCAAGGTGATAAACATGCCCACCCCCCAGCCCCCCCGACCCGCGGCACCACCAGGCAACCGTGGGCACGACCGGGATCACCACGGCCAGCAGGTCCACCAGGAAGTGCCGGCTCCAGTAGCTGCGCTCAGGGACGAGCAGCTCCTCTACCTCGAGCTCCTGAGTGTTAGCCTCATTGACACTAGCACAGCTAGGGTTAGCAACATGAGCGTTAGTCTCATCTACGCTAGTATCGCTAGAATTAGCTACATGAGTGTTAGCCTCATCTACGCTAGTATCGCTAGAATTAGCTACATGAGTGTTAGCCTCATCTACGCTAGTATCGCTAGAATTAGCAACATGAGCGTTAGCCTCATATACACTAGTATCGCTAGAATTAGCTACATGAGTGTTAGCCTCATCTACGCTAGTATCGCTAGAATTAGCGTCATGAGTGCTAGCTTCACCTATGCTAGCACAACTAGGGTTAGCAACATGAGCATTAGCACAACTCGGGTAAGTAGCATGAGTATTAGCTTCACCTACGCTAGCACAACTAGGGTCAGCGACATTCTTAGTGAAAGTACTTGTAGTGTTAGCGTCATAAACAATAGCATTGATTGCGTTAGCCTGATAAGTACCTTGTGTGTTAGCGGCATGTGAGACGTCACCACTAGGCAAGTGTGTAGACTGCAGTGTTAGCGGTTGCGTCGTTAGCGGTTGCGTCGTTAGCAGTTGCGTTGTTAGCTGCTGCGTTGTTAATGGTTGCGTCATTAACGGTGGCGGCATTAGCGGTTGCGTTGTTAGCGGTTGCGTCGTTGGCATGGGTAGCGGCGTTAGCTCGTAGCAGCTCAGATCGTCCAGATCAGCGTAGGTTAAGTCGAGGTCATCTGCTTTGTCCTGGTCAAGCTCCTCCCCCTCCAGGGCACAGATTGTCTTTGACCTCGCCAACCCCCCTCCCTCCTCCCTCACCCGTTGGGGGAGGGGCTCAGTGGCCATCGTCAGGGCAGTGCAGCCTGATTCGTCGGACCAAGTGGAGGTGGGACTACAGGCCCCTCCCCCCTCGGTCTGAATGCCCGCCTCCCTCATGACCAGAGGGTGGTGCCAGCGACACGGGTGACTGCAGCATCCCCCCAGCCCCCCCTCGCAGGTGGAGGAGTGAGTGAGGGAGTGGGGGAGGGGGCGAGCGAGGCGAGAACGAGGGAAGGAGTGAGGGAGGGTGTGTGAGTGGGGGAGGGGGGGGAGAGAGGCGAAGGTCTGAGTGCACGCGTTCAGTAACGACGCCGTCTCCTCCGACAGGAACGCAGCCTCTAGCAGCAGGTCTGCGCGGCTCGGGACGCAGCCGCTGCTCCCTGTGGCCTGAGGGGCGGAGCCAGGGGGAAGAGGGAGTGGTGTGTCCCCATAGAGAAGGGGGAGGGGCGTGTCGCCGTAGAGATGGCTGTAGGGGTAAAGATGGCCGCTGTAGTCGTGGACTCGGGCAGAGTTGTGGTCGTGGTGTTTGGTCAAGCTGTATTCCCGCTCCGACAACCGGGTGTAGGTCGAGCTGCGGGTGAGGGGAGCTGTGGGCGGAGCTCCAGGAGCTGTGGGCGGAGCTACAGGACTCTCTGCAGACACAGAGGCGGGGGCAGAGCCTACCGCCCTAGCCACACCCCTCCCATTGGGCGCCAGGTCCTGGAAGACGATGTCCTGTAAACAAAAAATGTATACTGTACAGACCAAAAGTTTTTTATTTTCATGATTATGAAAATAGTAGATTGACACTGAAGGCATCAAACCTGTGAAGTAACTCATGTGAATTATGTACGAACTAAAAAAGTATGAACCAAGTGAAAATATGTGTTTTATTCTGGTTCTTCAAAGTAGCTCCTTTTGCTCTGATACTGCTTCACTCTTGGGATTCTCTGGATGAGCTTCAACAGGACCTGAAATGGTCTTCAACAGTCTGGAAGGAGTTCCCATGATGCTTAGCACTTGTTGGCCCCTTCACTCTGTGGTCCAGCCCCAAAACCATCTGGACTGGGTTCAGGTCCGGTCTCTCTCCTTATTGGTCAAACAGCCCTTACACAGCCTGGTGCGGGTCTACAGCAATAGTCATGAAAAGAACTCAGTGAAGGAGAGAGGATGTCCACACTTTTGTGTACTGTATGTGTCTCGTTCTCCAACACTGGACCAGAACCTTTCAGGTGAACCTGTGAGAGTCATGCAGCTCTGTACGGACAGACCTGTGGAGTACTAAGACCCAGGACTGAGGGACTAGTCTCTGGTCTGAGACCCAGGAACTGAGGACCAGTCTCTGGTCTGAGACCCAGGACTGGGAGCGGACTGAGGCTCTCTGGTCTGAGACCGACTGTTCTGTTAGACCAGGCTGTGTGGTGTTCCTAACTTTCAAACCACAGTTAATGGATCCGTGTGATTGGGCCTCACGTACAGGTCTTGCTCCTCGGGCAAACTCACCTCAGCTCCCAGCTCCGACCCCACCATGGCCACGCCCCCTGTGACCCCGCCCATGGCCACACCCCCTGTGACCCCGCCCACTGAGCGCTGCAGAGCCTGGATCTCTGCTCGTGCTTCCTTCAGGGCGAGCTGCGCCTCGACTCGCTGACACTCCTCCTCCACCCAGTCCTCCTGCATCTGGGACAGTCTCTGTCTCAGGTCGCCGATCTCTCCATCCCTGATGGGAGAGGGAGAGGGGAAGAGAGGGAGAGGGAGAGAGAGAGGGAGAGGGGAAGAGAGGGAGAGGGAGAGAGAGAGGGGAGTTAGATCCAGACCTCCTGCATCTGAGTCAGTCTCAGCCTCAGCTCCCCGTCCTTGAGGGGCTCACATCAGAGGTGTTGAAACTGGTCTACACAGCCCTTTGAGGACACCCTGGTCCACAGGTCTCACCTGGTCTACACAGCCCTTTGAGGACGCCCTGGTCCACAGGTCTCACCTGGTCTACACAGCCCTTTGAGGACGCCCTGGTCCACAGGTCTCACCTGGTCTACACAGCCCTTTGAGGACGCCCTGGTCCTCAGGTCTCACCTGGTCTACACAGCCCTTTGAGGACGCCCTGGTCCACAGGTCTCACCTGGTCTACACAGCCCTTTGAGGACGCCCTGGTCCTCAGGTCTCACCTGGTCTCCAGGGCACAGATGGTCTCCCTCAGTCTGGTCCTCAAGTGTCTGATACAGACTTCTTTCTGCTGGAGGGGGGTGAGGTACTGCTCTGGGGGAGGGGGGCGGATCCCATGGTTCTCAGAGCAAGACCGCAACTGCCTCCTGCAACACACACACACACACACACACACGCACACACATACACAAAAGTGACACAATGATGTGCGTTGAGGGAAAATTCTCCCTCCATGCCCTCTCCCCAGTCCCCTCTCCTCCCCAATTTTTTCACCCCTGATCTACCCTCTCCCCCTCCTCACCCTTTGGTGGGGCTGCAGTCACTGCCCTTGCAGGACCCTGAGGAGCTGCTGCAGCTCTGTGTGTCTCTAGGGGGCGCTGTCCTCCTGTAAAACAAACATATTCTACAAACTGTTCCGTGGGGGAAGGGCGCAAGTTTGACATCTACTCACCGGGATCCACGGGTCGTGAGGGGAGAGCCCGAGCGCGGGGAGCCAGACCTGGGAGGGGGTTGGGCTCTGGAGAGAGGGGACGGGGCTTTAGAGGGAAGGGGCGGGGCTTTAGAAGGAACGGGCGGGGCTGACTGAGGGACTCTGGCTTTGGTCGAAGACCTGTGGGATTGGTGTCCGCTCTCCATCGGGACATAATCCAGCTCAATGAAGCGGCAGTAATCAAACCTGCCACCAGGGGGAGACAGAGGGGGAGACAGAGGGAGACAGAGGGAGACAGAGGGAGAGAGAGGGAGAGACAGAGGGAGACAGAGGGAGACAGAGGGAGAGACAGAGGGGGAGACAGAGGGAGACAGAGGGAGAGACAGAGGGAGAGAGAGAGAGAGGAGAGAAACAGAGGAGAAGAGACAGAGGGAGAGACAGAGGGAGAGAGAGAGGGAGAAACAGAGGGAGAGACAGAGGGAGAGACAGAGGGAGAGACAGAGGGAGAGACAGAGGGAGAGACAGAGGGAGAGACAGAGGGAGAGACAGAGGGAGAGACAGAGGGAGAGACAGAGGGAGAGACAGAGGGAGACAGAGGGAGAGACAGAGGGAGAGACAGAGGGAGAGAGAGAGGGAGAGAGAGAGGGAGAAACAGAGGGAGAGACAGAGGGAGAGGGAGAGACAGAGGGAGAGACAGAGGGAGAGACAGAGGGAGAGACAGAGGGAGAGACAGAGGGATTCAAGATCAAGATTCAAGAATTTATTTACCATTTGCAGTAAAAACTATGCAAGACTACGGCAGTGTGCAAAACACACACACACACACACACACACACACACACACACACACACACACACACACACACACACACACACACACACACACACACACACACACACACACACACACACACACACACACACACACACACACACACACACACACACACACACACACACACACACCAGTGCCAGATGTGATGAGGTCATGAAGACTGGGACATCCCTGACTCTGACCTCTGACCCTTACTCCTGACTCATACATGTGAGTTATTCATACTGCGTTGTATTCGGGTGTAAAAAGAACAGTCCGAGTCTTCATGACATGAGTTCACATTAGAGCTCGACATGCAGCTGCTGCTCCCTGTGCAGTGAAGCCAGTGCCATGCAGCCGCGCATGCCCAGGGCAGTTTGTCTCACGCTGATGGAGCTGTGGCCAAAGTAGAATCACAGTCGGCTGCTGGCCCAACTCCCTTTGCTGGCCCCGCCCCCTCCGCTGGCCCCGCCCCTTCCGCTGGCCCCGCCCCCGACAAGACGTTCTGCAGACGGCGTTTCGGCTGAAGAGCGCGGAGAGGGTTAAACCTGGGGAAGAACCAAAGACTGTACCCATGGACAAGGCTAACATGCTAACACGCTAACACGCTCTTGCTAAACACAGTCTTTTTTTAATTATTATTATTATTTTTTTAATTGCATTTATTTTATGAAAGTACAATACAAACATGGCAAAGTGCTGTACGCAATAATAACATATGAGGGAACATTGGCAGTCCAGTGCAAGTAGTGAGTGCAAAAGAATGAAAAAATAAAATGAAACATCAAACAAAAAATAAAGTACAAAAGTACAAAGTTGAAGGGTGTCCTGGACGCAGATCAGAGGCAGATCATAAAGTTTGTGGTTGGGAAGAGTCTACGGGGATTTCACTTCAATAGGAACACAATTTCGTGGCATTTGGTCCTTTCATTCGCTCCAAGGAAATAAGGTACATTTTAAAATCCTTTCGAAAAAATAAAACGTGGGACATTTCTGACATTTGCTTCTGTGTTTACAGAATATTGCAAGACACAAAGTCACATTAATACAGAGTTCCATGTTTTTGTTATTTGTTAGCGCCATGCCGAACGTTACATAAATATCATCTTGAAATGACTGGCGTTGAAGGAAAAACATTTTGTACCAAACTTTGTAAATCTCTCCAAAATAATTCACAATAAAAAAAATCGTCGGGTCGTCGTCTCCACATGAATACTGCAGAACGTACATGTTGTTTGTTAAACCGTTAAAGTCGTTTCTTTGGCCTTTGGGGCTACAGGGAAGAATAAATACATAGTTCTGAGTCTTTTTTTAATCAAATTTGTTTAGGATATCATTTTATTTTGTAAGCCAGGGAATGTTTCATCTGTCAAGCTTTTTCTAATGAAAAAATTATTACATTTCTGATCTAAGAATGATGTCCTGCGTATCCTTGGAGAGGGTAAGTGTGTTTGCGTTTCTGAGGAGCTAATAAGGTTTTTGGATAGAAAAATAAATTCTTTAGGGCGTTACGTAAACGCATGAAGTCTAAACGTGAGGCGTTAAAACTGTGTTTACTGCAGAATTGATCATAATCTAATAAATTTCCTTCTTTGTCCATGAGCTGCGTCTTCAAAAGTTATGGACATAGAGCATTTTCCAGTAAAGTAAAATGTTCTTGTGGAGCTCTGATAAAGACACAGGAAGCTTGTTGATATCGAAGCCCCATACGAGCAGTAGGTTTAGACCACCGAATGTTTTAAAGACCTTATGACGGGTTTTAAAAAAAATAAATAGTGGATATCAAAATTGCATGACAATGTCAATTTGAAAGAGATTCCGGCAAAAAAATCCTATATTTTATAAAAAGAACGTGTTTTTCATGAATTTAAGTTGTCTATGCTCTAACCTGTGTGTGACGTCACAGCGGGTAACGCCCATGCATTGAAAACCATGGATCTATGCCACAGGACTGCCTTTTCTCTCTTCTCTCCACTGATGCCCAACACAATACTGCCCTCTACAGGTGACAATTGCTCACTACACATAAATTGCCGTTTTGAGAGTGAAAAAGTGTCCGAGGTGGGATTTGAACCCAAGTATCTGGATTGGCAGTCCATCGACACAACCACTGGACTATCTCAGTGACAACGAAATGATACATTCTAGTAGTTATCTTAGACTCGCTGTACACGGCCTTGTCATCTTGAATATCCGCGAAAAAAGAACGAATACCAAATTGTAAACAACTTACAGCGTTGAAACGTACCCGCTCTGACGTCACCAAGGGCTGTGAAGTTTTTTCGTCTCTAAGGGCGTTGCTATGGGGTTATTTCGATTTGGGGGGATTTAACAAAAAAACAACAACTGATTTTGAAACCTTTAGTAGTTCTCTTCTGATATAAAATGGTATTAAAACTGTTTTTCTAAATAAATCAAACCCGGCATAAGGTCTTTAAAAATAAAGTTAGATATAAAGTTAGATATACAGTACCAAAGATGATGATTACACAAGGTGACAGCCAAAAAATGGTCAGGGGTTTCTCAGCTGATTCAGACTAATGTTGGAGTTCTGAGAATATCACATGCATTTGTCTCTATCAGATACAGCCACAGTGTTACGGATTATGTCTACGTTATTATGAATTCTGCTTATCAAATTTGAGTAAATAAACACGGAATGACTTTGGATACGTTGACTTTTATTTCTTGAGGAAAACGGAAAAAACGCGAAGGGTTTCTCAGCTGATGATCCGCAGAAATTTGTTTTTTACGCAATATCGATTTAAGCAAATATTTATGTAGCAAAAAATCCTGACCTGATTGAGCAAAACCAAGGTCATTATCGGACTCAGAGCATCAACATTAGATTCAGCTGAAAAACCCCTGGACTATTTTCAAAACATATTTTTAATTCAAGATTTTAACCAGTTTATCTTTAAGGTTCCTCCTTCATTGTTTGTTTGACCCATATGACTTTTCTTTATATAATGTGGTTTATTTTGCCATATAAAATTGAAATTAATCTGATTTATGGTCTAGGGTCTTTGTTGGGTTTTGGGATCGATATTATGACGCCATGTCTCATTGTATTTGATAGTGTGCAAGTTTCAAAAATCTCAACTAAAACATTGAACAGTAATTCCTTAATATTAAACCAAAAATGTTTATAAAAGTTTCCTGTGAGACCGTCTGATCCTGGAGCTCTGTGAGGAGAGAGTGGGCCTAACGTTTTGGAACATACCGGGCTTTATCGTTCATGAAAGATTCAGTTCGTTTTGGAACATTTTGACTTAAAAGCTGTGTATAAAATGTATACATTTCTAAAGAGATGAGTTTATCGTCTGTAATTTCTATATTATTCATTAGTAATGACTTTATGCTGAGTTCTTCTTCTATCCACTGCTCGAGACCTAATGTGTGGATTTCATCTAGATCTGATCGTAACTTCAGAATTATTTGTTTGTCAAGTTCACTAAGATGTTGTTTGTTACATTTAACTGGTTTATAATATTCTTTATAAACCAGTTAAATGTATGTATCAAGTTCTTTTGATAGTTTTTACTAAAGGTCATAGATTCATCACGAGTTTTAAACTGCGGTTGTTCTTCACTGGATGTAATTTTACTTATAGTTGATTTAAGGATTTGATAATAGTTGTCATTTTTAAGAAGACTTGAGTTAAATTTCCAGTATTTGTTAGAGAAATGTTTAGTTCTAGCCAGGGCTGGGCAATAAATCGAATTTTGGCAATTAATCGGCTTTGGAAAAAATCGAATTTGTGAAAAATGTGAAAATCGTGAAATGTAATGAAGGATATTGTGAGAGTTCCAGCAGCACATCCATTACAATATCAGACTTTTATAATACGTATTTGGGGAAACAAATACAAAAAATAGATTTGAAACTTGAATATTAAGCGGGAAGAAAAAAAATATATTTTAAGAGCAAAGTTTGTCTTGAAAATTGAATGAAAATCGAAATTGTCCAAAGCAGGAAATAAAATTGAGATTTGACTTTTTTTCCATGTGTTGAAAGTGTTGAATTGATATTACTACAAAGAAACTGGTTAGAAATTAACCAATTATTAATTCTAGATCTTTAATTATAGTTTGGACTGAACCATGAAAAGTGGGATATTCCAGAACTGAGATCTCTCCAAGAATCAGGAAGACTTATTAAATATGATAATAACATGTTTGGAGAGATCTGAACCTCCTGCACCTCCTGCCACGGCACCTCCTCCCACTGCACCTCCTCTGTACCCCAAACACTGCACCTCCTGCCACTGCACCTCCTCCCACTGCACCTCCTCTGTACTCCAAACACTGCACCTCCTCCCACTGCACCTCCTCTGTACCCCAAACACTGCACCTCCTGCCACTGTATCTCCATCCATGGCACCTCCTCTGTACCCCAAACACTGCACCTCCTGCCACTGTATCTCCATCCATCGCACCTCCTCTGTACCCCAAACACTGCACCTCCTGCCACTGTATCTCCTGCCACTGCACCTCCATCCACGGCACCTCCTCTGTACCCCAAACACTGCACCTCCTGCCACTGTATCTCCTGCCACTGCACCTCCTCTGTACCCCAAACACTGCACCTCCTGCCACGGCATCTCCATCCACCGCACCTCCTGCCACTGCACCTCCATCCACGGCACCTCCTCTGTACCCCAAACACTGCACCTCCTGCCACTGCACCTCCATCCACGGCACCTCCTCTGTACCCCAAACACTGCACCTCCTGCCACTGCACCTCCTCCCACTGCACCTCCTCTGTACTCCAAACACTGCACCTCCTGCCACTGCACCTCCTCCCACTGCACCTCCTCTGTACCCCAAACACTGCACCTCCTGCCACTGTATCTCCATCCATGGCACCTCCTCTGTACCCCAAACACTGCACCTCCTGCCACTGTATCTCCATCCATCGCACCTCCTCTGTACCCCAAACACTGCACCTCCTGCCACTGTATCTCCTGCCACTGCACCTCCATCCACGGCACCTCCTCTGTACCCCAAACACTGCACCTCCTGCCACTGTATCTCCTGCCACTGCACCTCCTCTGTACCCCAAACACTGCACCTCCTGCCACGGCATCTCCATCCACCGCACCTCCTGCCACTGCACCTCCATCCACGGCACCTCCTCTGTACCCCAAACACTGCACCTCCTGCCACTGCACCTCCATCCACGGCACCTCCTCTGTACCCCAAACACTGCACCTCCTGCCACTGCACCTCCTCCCACTGCACCTCCTCTGTACTCCAAACACTGCACCTCCTGCCACTGCACCTCCTCCCACTGCACCTCCTCTGTACCCCAAACACTGCACCTCCTGCCACTGTATCTCCATCCATGGCACCTCCTCTGTACCCCAAACACTGCACCTCCTGCCACTGTATCTCCATCCATCGCACCTCCTCTGTACCCCAAACACTGCACCTCCTGCCACTGTATCTCCTGCCACTGCACCTCCATCCACGGCACCTCCTCTGTACCCCAAACACTGCACCTCCTGCCACTGTATCTCCTGCCACTGCACCTCCTCTGTACCCCAAACACTGCACCTCCTGCCACGGCATCTCCATCCACCGCACCTCCTGCCACTGCACCTCCATCCACGGCACCTCCTCTGTACCCCAAACACTGCACCTCCTGCCACTGCACCTCCATCCACGGCACCTCCTCTGTACCCCAAACACTGCACCTCCTGCCACGGCATCTCCATCCACCGCACCTCCTGCCACTGCACCTCCATCCACGGCACCTCCTGTGTACCCCAAACACTGCACCTCCTGCCACTGCACCTCCATCCACGGCACCTCCTCTGTACCCCAAACACTGCACCTTCTGCCACTGCACCTCCATCCACGGCACCTCCTCTGTGCCCCAAACACTGCACCTCCTCCCACTGCACCTCCATCCATGGCACCTCCTCTGTACCCCAAACACTGCACCTCCTGCCACTGTATCTCCTGCCACTGCACCTCCATCCACGGCACCTCCTCTGTACCCCAAACACTGCACCTCCTGCCACTGCACCTCCATCCACGGCACCTCCTCTGTACCCTAAACACTGCACCTCCATCCACGGCACCTCCTCTGTACCCTAAACACTGCACCTCCTGCCACTGCATCTCCATCCACGGCACCTCCTCTGTAACCCAAACACTGCACCTCCTGCCACTGCACCTCCTCCCACTGCACCTCCAACCACTGCCCCTCCTGCCACTGCACCTCCATCCACTGCACCTCCTCCCACTGCACCTCCTCCCACTGCACCTCCAACCACTGCCCCTCCTGCCACTGCACCTCCATCCACTGCACCTCCTCCCACTGCACCTCCTCCCACTGCACCTCCTCCCACTGCACCTCCTCCCACTGCACCTCCTGTCTCTTCACTGGACTGCTAGTGTCTGTGGTGTTCACTAAACACACTCGTGTCTTGATGTAGAAGTCATTTTAAGACTTTTATGAAAATAACATTATTATATTTTTATTTTTACGACTTTGCCCAAAGCAAATCCCTGGTTTTGTGACTTCCTGTTACTCACAATAAAAGTGAAAATGATTCTGATGCGTCCGCTTCATCCAACCCCGACACATGTAGTTACACTATTTAATGGTGAAAGATCATGTGACTCACCGCCGTGGCGACCGGCGAGGGGCGGGCACAGGGGATGACATCATCAGGCTGTGGAGACACGCCCTCCTCACCTGGAGACTGAACACAGGAAGTGTGTTCAGTGTGAACACTCCAACCAAACATAGCATGTTAGCTAACGCTAGTTATACAGCATTAGCTAACACTGGTTATACACATAGACTGTATATAATAACGGACAGAGTCACGTCTATCTCCGCCGTTCTAACTAATGGGTCAAAAAATGTGCTCTACTGGAGCAATCCAAAATGGCCACGAGTGGTCCCGCCCACAAGAAAATGGTGAAAAAACGCATCTGCGCATGCGTCAGCCGGCGCAACTCCATTCATTTGAACGAGAGACTTCAAAAATTCACAGCGACTAAACTAGAGTGGACCAAAACACTCCCTCAGCATTGACACACATGTGGAACGAGCTTTGGGCCAAGAGCCAACTTTTGGTCCATCCTGTAAAGACGTTTTTGAAAGGTCTGCCAATGCTATATGTTAGCATTGGCTAATTCTTCTTCTGGGTCCACCCCCATCGGCCCGGGGTGGTATTGCAGCATGTCAGCGCACGTCATTCTGGCCACTTTTGAGCTAAAACCCGCCCCCACTGGTTATTCGGCATTAGCTAACTCTGCTTAAAGAGCATTAGCTAACTCTGGTTTTACAGCATTAGCTAACATGCTAATCAGGGAGTCAAACTGCAGTGTCCTTGTGATACATAAAATAATCAAATCAAAGTTTTCACACACATCACACAGGAGCAACACTCTGCAGAATGACCGCAGAACGAGCCGTAGAGCTGTCTTTGGGTGAATGAAGCTCTGACCTCACAGTTAGGGCTTTTGCAGAGAGTTGTGTTTATGGATGAGGAACCAGAAAGATCAGAGAGAGACACCAGAGACACCAGAGAGAGACCAGAGACACCAGAGAGAGACCAGAGACACCAGAGAGAGACCAGAGACACCAGAGCCACCAGAGAGAGACCAGAGACACCAGAGAGAGACCAGAGACACCAGAGAGAGACCAGAGACACCAGAGAGAGACCAGAGACACCAGAGAGAGACCAGAGACACCAGAGCCACCAGAGAGAGACCAGAGACACCAGAGAGAGACCAGAGACACCAGAGAGAGACCAGAGACACCAGAGAGAGACCAGAGACACCAGAAAGAGGGACCAGAGACACCAGAGAGAGACCAGAGACACCAGAGAGAGACCAGAGACACCAGAGAGAGACCAGAGACACCAGAGAGAGACCAGAGACACCAGAGCCACCAGAGAGAGACCAGAGACACCAGAGAGAGACCAGAGACACCAGAGCCACCAGAGAGAGACCAGAGACACCAGAGAGAGACCAGAGACACCAGAAAGAGGGACCAGAGACACCAGAGAGAGACCAGAGACACCAGAGAGAGACCAGAGACACCAGAGAGAGACCAGAGACACCAGAAAGAGGGACCAGAGACACCAGAGAGAGACCAGAGACACCAGAGAGAGACCAGAGACACCAGAGAGAGACCAGAGACACCAGAGAGAGACCAGAGACACCAGAGAGAGACCAGAGACACCAGAGCCACCAGAGAGAGACCAGAGACACCAGAGAGAGACCAGAGACACCAGAGAGAGACCAGAGACACCAGAGAGAGACCAGAGACACCAGAAAGAGGGACCAGAGACACCAGAGAGAGACCAGAGACACCAGAGAGAGACCAGAGACACCAGAGAGAGACCAGAGACACCAGAGAGAGACCAGAGACACCAGAGCCACCAGAGAGAGACCAGAGACACCAGAGAGAGACCAGAGACACCAGAGCCACCAGAGAGAGACCAGAGACACCAGAGAGAGAGACCAGAGACACCAGAAAGAGGGACCAGAGACACCAGAGAGAGACCAGAGACACCAGAGAGAGACCAGAGACACCAGAGAGAGACCAGAGACACCAGAGAGAGACCAGAGACACCAGAAAGAGGGACCAGAGACACCAGAGAGAGACCAGAGACACCAGAAAGAGGGACCAGGGAGAGACCAGAGAGAGACCAGAGAGACCAGAGAGAGGGACCAGAGACAAGACGGCGCCTGTCCTGGTCTACGTGCGTGAGTCGTGCACGCGCTCATTAATAAATCACAGTATATTTAGAGGGAAACTACAAACGGGAGGGCATCTGACACGTGACAAAATGAGCGCGTGCATGAGCACATGCACTTGCGCGTGCATGAGCAGAAGAGTGGAGAAGGAAATCAAAACACTGAAGGTCAAACGCGTCACGACATCAGTGAAACCGCCTCTACCGCGTCTGCCGCGTCAGTGCCGCATCAGGCCGCGTCAGTGCTGCATCACAACAAACCTCTGGCGCTGCAGGGCATCCGGGTTAGCATATCACTGTAAAACAAACGTGTCCGTTCGCACGTGGCACGCGCGCCTCACGCGCACAACAACAGACACAGACGCGTCTCACCTGCACTTTGTCTCCGCGTGTCCCGCTGCGGAGCGTCCACCGCGGTGTCCTCCAGATGGGGACAGGCGTGACGTGCTGACGTAGTGAGCAGGGCGTGACGTAATGACGACACTGGACACACACTCTCCACGCGTGACATCACTCAGAATCAGAATCATGTTTATTGCCACGTAAGTAACAGGAGGTCACAAACTTAGAAATTGCTTTGGCTCAGTGCAACAGTCAGAAAGAGATAATAAAAAATAAAGAATAAAAATCACTTCTAAAGAATAAATTTAGATTTAAAATAGAGTTACAGTTACTATTTACAATATACAAGTCCACATGGTGCACACAATGTAAGGTGACAGCAGTACAGTGAAGTAAAGTGACGTATGATGGGCAGTAAAGTGACTTTATAAAGGGCGGGGGCCGGACAGGTTAAGAAGTGTTCAAGAGTCCAACAGCAGAGGGGAAGAAACTGTTCTTGTGGCGAGAGGTTCTAGTCCTGATGGACCGCAGCCTCCTGCCTGAGGGGAGTGGTTGGAATAGTCCATGTGCAGGGTGAGAGGGGTCGGCTGTGATGCGACCAGCCCGGCCTCGAGCTCGGGCGACGTATAGGTCCTGCAGCGATGGAAGGCTGCGGCCGATCACTTCCTCTGCAGACCGCACAATGCGATGTAGTCTCTGTTTGTCCCTGACTGTGGCTCCAGCGAACCACACGGTGATGGAGGAGGTGATGGAGGAGGTGATGGAGGAGGGGAGGATGGACTCGATGATGACCGTGTAGAACTGCACCAACATCTGTGCAGGCAGCTTGGCTTTCCTGAGCTTCCGCAGGAAGTACATCCTCTGCTGGGCCTTCTTGATGAGGGAGCTGATGGTCGGCTCCCACTTGAGGTCCTGGGTGATGGTGGTGCCCAGGAAACGGAAGGACTCCACAGAGGTGATGGGGGAGTCCATCACCGAGGGTGGGGGCGGGGGGACAGTGCTCTTCCTGAAGTCCACAATCATCTCCACTGTCTTCTGGGCGTTCAGCTCCAGGTTGTTACCACTGCACCAGGACACCAGCCGGTCCACCTCCCTCCTGTAGGCGGACTCATCGTTGTTGGAGATGAGTCCAATGAGGGTGGTGTTGTCCGCAAACTTGATCAGCTTCACGGAGTCGTGGCTGGAGGTGCAGTGGTTGGTGTACAGGGAGAAGAGCAGGGGAGAAAGAACACAGCCCTGTGGGGCTCCTGTATTTATAATCCGAGAGTCTGAGACATTCTTCCCCAGACGCACTCGCTGCTTCCTGTCCGTCAGGAAGTCAGTGATCCACCTGCAGGTGGAATCGGGCACGTTGAGCTGGGAGAGCTTGTCCTGGAGCAGGGATGGCAGGATCGTGTTGAAGGCAGAGCTGAAGTCCACGAACAGGACCCTGGCGTAGGTCCCCGGGGAGTCCAGGTGCTGTAGGATGTGGTGGAGGGCCAGGTTAATGGCGTCGTCTACAGATCTGTTGGCTCTGTAGGTGAACTGCAGGGGGTCCAGGAGGGGGGAGGTGAGGGACTTGAGATGGGAGAGAACCAGGCGTTCAAATGACTTCATGACGACAGACGTAAGTGCTACAGGTCTGTAGTCGTTGAGTCCTGTGATCCTGGGCTTCTTCGGGACGGGGACAATGATGGAGGATTTGAAGCAGGCCGGGACATGGCAGGACTGCAGAGAGGTGTTGAAAATGTCAGTGAACACAGGAGTAAGCTCACTGGCGCAGTGTCTCAGAGTGGCCGGAGACACGTGGTCCGGGCCAGGAGCTTTGCGGGGGTGCAGCCTCAGGAAGAGTTGTTTAATCTCTTTAGCGGCTATTGTTAGGCTGGGGGCAGGGCTGATGGGTGGGTCGTTAGAGTAGTGGGGGGTGGAGGAGGTGTCAGGGGCAGCATCAAAGCGACTGAAAAATAAGTTCAGTTCGTCAGCTAGCTTGTGGTCGTCAGCACAGGGGGGGGCTTTGGGCTTGTAGTTGGTGATCTCCCGTAGGCCCCTCCAGACAGAAGCAGTATCGTTGTTACCAAACTGCTCCTGTAGCCGTTCTCTGTGCCGGGACTTGGCTGCTTTCAGTTCTTTCCTGAACTCATATTTAGCTGCTTTGTAGCCGCTGCGGTCCCCCTCCCTGAAAGCAGACTCCTTTGCTTTCCTGAGCTGCCGGAGTTTAGCAGTGAACCAGGGTTTGTCATTGTTATAGATGACCCTGGTCCTTGTTGGAATGATGCTATCCTCACAGAAGTGAATGTATGACGTCACAGTGTCCGTATATTCATCCAAACTATCTGTGGCAGCTCTGAAAAGGTCCCAGTCTGTAGATTCCATGCATGCGCGCAGCTCTTCCACAGCTTCATCAGACCACACTTTGGAGCTCCTCACTGCAGGTTTCGAGAGCTTTAGTCTCTGTCTGTAAGCAGGAACCAGATGGATCATGGAGTGATCTGAGAAGCCGAGGGCTGGCTTGGGAACAGCGTGAAAAGCTCCGCGCACGGTGGTGTAGCAGTGATCCAGAGTGTTCTCCTCTCTGGTCGGGCATTTGATAAACTGTCTGTATTTGGGTCATTCCTGGCTCAAGTTTCCCTTTTTAAAATCCCCCAGGATAATAATCAGAGAGTCTGGGTATAAACGTTCCATACACAGTACTTGCTCTGCGAGTGCGCGCTGAGCCTCGAGCACGTCCGCGCATGGCGGTATGTAAACAGAGGCAAGAATGAATGAAACAATTTCACGAGGGGCGTAACATGGTTTACAATGAATGAAAAGATATTCCAGAGCAGGAGAGCAGTGCTTGGACACAATCGTGAAGTGGAACGAAATCTATTGGATAATTTAAACTTTTTTAACAAATAAAAAACTGAAAAGTGGGGCGTGCAATATTATTCGGCCCCCTTGCGCTAATACTTTGTAGCGCCACCTTTTGATGCAATTACAGCTGCAAGTCGCTTGGGGTATGTCTCTATCAGTTTTGCACATTGAGAGACTGGAATTCTTGCCCATTCTTCCTTGCAAAACAGCTCGAGCTCAGTGAGGTTGGATGGAGAGCGTTTGTGAACAGCAGTCTTCAGCTCTTTCCACAGATTCTCGATTGGATTCAGGTCTGGACTTTGACTTGGCCATTCTAACACCTGGATACGTCTATTTGTGAACCATTCCATTGTAGATTTGGCTTTATGTTTTGGATCATTGTCCTGTTGGAAGATAAATTTCCATCCCAGTCTCAGGTCTTTTGCAGACTCCAACAGGTTTTCTTCCAGAATGATCCTGTATTTGGCTCCATCCATCTTCCCATCAATTTTAGCCATCTTCCTGTCCCTGCTGAAGAAAAGCAGGCCCAAAGCATGATGCTGCCACCACCATGTTTGACAGTGGGGATGGTGTGTTCAGGGTGATGAGCTGTGTTGCTTTTACGCCAAACATATCGTTTTGCATTGTGGCCAAAAAGTTCGATTTTGGTTTCATCTGACCAGAGCACCTTCTTCCACATGTTTGGTGTGTCTCCCAGGTGGCTTGTGGCAAACTTTAAACAAGACTTTTTATGGATATCTTTGAGAAATGGCTTTCTTCTTGCCACTCTTCCATAAAGGCCAGATTTGTGCAGTGCACGACTGATTGTTGTCCTATTAACAGACTCTCCCACCTCAGCTGTAGTTATCTGCAGTTCATCCAGAGTGATCATGGGCCTCTTGGCTGCATCTCTGATCAGTCTTCTCCTTGTTTGAGATGAAAGTTTGGAGGGACGGCCGGGTCTTGGTAGATTTGCAGTGGTCTGATACTCCTTCCATTTCAATATAATTGCTTGCACAGTGCTCCTTGAGATGTTTAAAGCTTGGGAAATCTTTTTGTATCCAAATCTGGCTTTAAACTTCTCCACAACAGTATCTCGGACCTGCCTGGTGTGTTCCTTTGTCTTCATGGTTCTCTCTGCGCTTTAAACAGAACCCTGAGACTATCAAAGAGCAGGTGCATTTATACGGAGACTTGATTACACACAGGTGCATTCTATTTATCATCATCAGTCATTTAGGACAACATTGGATCATTCAAAGATCCTCACTGAACTTCTGGAGTGAGTTTGCTGCACTGAAAGTAAAGGGGCCGAATAATATTGCACGCCCCACTTTTCAGTTTTTTATTTGTTAAAAAAGTTTAAATTATCCAACAAATTTCATTCCACTTCACGATTGTGTCCCACTTGTTGTTGATTCATGACAAAAAATTAAAATGTAATATCTTTATGTTTGAAGCCTGAAATGTGGCGAAATGTTGAAAGGTTCAAGGGGGCCGAATACTTTCGCAATACTTTATATACACCCACATGCGTATACACACACACACACACACACAGACACACACATATACAAAGTCACATCAGGTAAAATAGGTGAAACAATAAAAAGAAATGGGGCTGGGTGCAGATGTAACCGGCTGAAGAAGCGCCATCCAAGGAGCCGTCTGCACCAGGAGCAGAGAGCCGCCTGCAGCCACAGGGGACGACACAGGACCCAGAGGAGAGAGGGGCCCCAGACCCCACCAGGCCCAGGACTCAGACCCTCATAGGACCCAGAGCGGAGAGGACCCCCCAGACCCCCACCAAGTCCAAGAGCCAGACCCCCGAAGCCACAGCAGACCCCAGCTCCCGGTGCAGAGGGCTCCTCCAGAGGAAACACTGGGGACACTAAAACAATACAATAATACAATAGAAAGTAGAACAATAAAATGTGAGACAAAAAAGAAAATGGCAGCTGCCTAATGTTAATAACACAAGTTGACAGCCAAAAAATGGTCAGGGGTTTCTCAACTGATTCAGACTAATGTTGGAGTTCTGAGAATATCACATGCATTTGTCTCTATCAGAAAAAAAAAAATTCTGTATCAAAAAATCCTGACCTGATTGAACAAAACCAAGGTCATTATCGGACTCAGAGCATCAACATTAGATTCAGCTGAAAAACCCTGGACTATTTTCAAAACATATTTTTTTGTTACCCAGTGTAATAACAATAGTAAATGGGTAGATAAAATAAATAATTAAAAACCCAAAAATAAAATGTGTCTAAAAACATAAATAAATGTACTAAAACTATAATAAACAATAAATACTAATCAAAAGCTAATCTAAAAAGGTGTGTCTTGAGCCTGCTTTTAAAAATATGAACTGGGTCTACAGCCTCAGTCCTGGGTCTACAGCCTCAGTCTTGGATCTACAGCCTCAGTCCTGGGTCTACAGCCTCAGTCTTGGATCTACAGCCTCAGTCTTGGATCTACAGCCTCAGTCCTGGGTCTACAGCCTCAGTCCTGGATCTACAGCCTCAGTCCTGGGTCTACAGCCTCAGTCTTGGATCTACAGCCTCAGTCTTGGATCTACAGCCTCAGTCCTGGGTCTACAGCCTCAGTCCTGGGTCTACAGCCTCAGTCCTGGGTCTACAGCCTCAGTCTTGGATCTACAGCCTCAGTTCTGGGTCTACAGCCTCAGTCCTGGGTCTACAGCCTCAGTCCTGGGTCTACAGCCTCAGTCCTGGATCTACAGCCTCAGTCCTGGGTCTACAGCCTCAGTCCTGGGTCTACAGCCTCAGTCCTGGGTCTACAGCCTCAGTCCTGGGTCTACAGCCTCAGTCCTGGGTCTACAGCCTCAGTCCTGGGTCTACAGCCTCAGTCCTGGGTCTACAGCCTCAGTCTTGGATCTACAGCCTCAGTCCTGGGTCTACAGCCTCAGTCCTGGATCTACAGCCTCAGTCCTGGGTCTACAGCCTCAGTCTTGGATCTACAGCCTCAGTCCTGGGTCTACAGCCTCAGTCCTGGATCTACAGCCTCAGTCCTGGGTCTACAGCCTCAGTCCTGGATCTACAGCCTCAGTCCTGGATCTACAGCCTCAGTCCTGGATCTACAGCCTCAGTCCTGGGTCTACAGCCTCAGTCCTCTCCACATTCAAAGACATTTATAAACATTGGCCTCTGCTCCTTTTGGACCAACGTCTCTTTGTGTTTTGATGGTTGCAT